GGTTCGTCGGCACCCATGCGCGAACACCCGTTCGCAAAATTCGTCTGAGCGACGGCTCTGTGAGCGGCTGACAGGGTCGTCGATCTTGATTCCTGGCCGTGACGTGGATCGCAGGGAATCCCATTTTTGCTGCCTACAAGTGCACAAAAATCCGTGCACGAGTTTTTTGGGACTCGTGGCGCCCACTCTTTCACGATGGACGGCCTGAGCGGCATTCGTGCGTCGGGTCACGAGTTCGCTGTTGTCTGCCGGGGCAGCTATCGACAATGATCCTTTCGCAGGTTCACCTATAGAATTAATTTTATGAATTCTTCTTTCTCTAAACGATAAGGCTTATTCGACTTCTCGCAATGACGCGGGTTCGTCGGCGCCCGTGCGCGAACCCCCGTTCGCAAAATTTGTCTGGGCGACGTCTCCGTGAGCAGTTGATGGGGTCGTCGTTCTCAATTCCTGGCCGCGACGTTGATCGCAGGGATTCCCATTTTTGCTGCCTACAAGTGCACGAAAATCCATGCAGGAGTTTTTTGGGACTCGTGGCGCCCACTCTGTCACGATGGACGGCCTGAGCGGCATTCGTACGTCGGGTCACGAGTTCGTTGTTGTCTGCCGGGGCAGATATCGACAATGATCCTTTCGCAGGTTCACCTATAGAATTCATTTTACGAATTCTCCTTTCTCTAAACGATAAGGCTTATTCGACTTCTCGCGATGACGCGGGTTCGTCGGCGCCCGTGCACGAACCCCTGTTCGCAAAATTCATCTGGGAGACGGCTCCGTGAGCGGCTGACGGGGTCGTCGTTTGCGATTCCTGGCCGCGATGTGGATCGCAAAGAATCCCATTTTTGCTGCCTACAAGTGCACGAAAATCCGTCCATCACGTTAGTTCTTAAAATGGATTTAAATCTAGAATGCTTTTAAGAAAATATTTGCTTCAGGTATGCATGGCACATCCGAGACAGGGGACGTCTCGTGATATAGAAATACGGGCTGAGTGAGTGAACTTACGTCTATTGTATTATATGTAAATTTTTAACCGGAAAACCTCTTGTTAAGGGGTGTGTTTTGTAAATATTTATAAATCAGGTTCTGTTATATAATAATGCGCTTTTATGATTAATTTTAGCCTTAACATTGTATTGTGGGGCCCAAAGTAGGAGATGACGACCTCATGATGCAGTGTGGCGGTAGCATTTCCAGTATGAGCCAACTGGGGTGTTACAGTAGACATACATACGGGTGTATATATAAATACACTTTATACATATACCCATGTGTATGTATATGCCCAATAGGAGATGATGTAGACAGAACTAGGATGGGTTGGAGTTGCTCATTTGATCTCAGACTAGCAGCATTAAAAGGCTGACAACTCCATTTGCATCATCACTAATTGGATGTATAAACATGTATGTATAAGCCCAATAGGTGATGATACAAACGTGGGTGATGTTGCCGATCTGATCTCACTTTCTTATACATATATATGTGTTTATATATATACATAATAAGTGACGATGTAGATAGGGTTGGGTAAAGGTGGGGCTGTTGATCCAATTCAAAAGTAGAATCAGATCAACAACATGAAATAGACTCTCATATTTATTTGCACCATCACTTATTGAGTACATACATATGCTTGTATATATATATGTGTATGTATACACCCATTAAAAATGATTGGGGTTGGGCTGTGTGGGGATGAGACAATTAATCTAATCCTGCTTTGAGATCAAAATCAGCAACATCGAAAGGCTTTCAGCCCAATCTGTATCATCATTCATTGAATGTATATGTACTTTATGCATCATTACCTATTCAGTGTATACATATACATGTGTGTGTATACCCAATGAGTGATGATACAAATAGGGGTGGGGCTATTGATCCGATCTCAAAGCAAAATTAGATCAACAATATCGAAAGGCTCTCAACCCCATCTGCATCATCACTTACTGAGTGTATATATATACACGTGTGTATTAATAAAATGAGTTTATATACACATATGTGTACTTTATACATACACATACAGACGTATATATGTATACACCCAATAGATAATAATGAAGATGGTGTTGGGGTGAGAGTGGGGTTGTTGATCTGATTACAAAGCGAGATCATATCAACAACATCAAAAGACTCTCAATCTTATATGCATCATCACCCAATGGGTGTATACACCCATGTATATGTATATACTTAATAAGTTATGATACGAATGAAGATGGGACTACTAATATGATCCCAAAGTGGGATCAGTTCAACATCAAAATACTCGCAGTCGTATTTGCATCATCATCTATTAAGTTTATACATACACATACGTGTATTTATAAAATGATTTTATGCATACACACGTATGTGTATATATAAAGTGAGGTGATGATGGATGTAGAGTTATGGTGGGGTTTGAGATAAGATCAATAACATAAAATAGGCTTCCAGCCCTATCTGCCTAATCAGTCATTAGGTGTATACATATATAAATGTGTATATAAACACCCAATATATTATGCAGATGAGGTTGCGGTGGAGCTAGGGCTGTTGATTTGATCCCAAAGCGAGAATAAATCAGCATCGTAAAAATGCTTCAAACCCCACCAACATCATCAAAAAGCTCTCACTCCACTTGCATCATCACGCATTGAATGTATACATACATATATATATGCATGTAAAAAGTGATTTTATACATATACATGTGTGTTTTTATACATAAACACTTTTGTATATATAAACAAAATAGATGATGAATCGAATAGGGTAGGGCTGCTGATCTAATCCCAAAGTGAGATCAGATCATCAGCCTTATTTAAGATATTTCAAAGTCTTTTATTTGTATAGAAATTGTGTAATTTAAATTTTTATTTAGAATTAGACATCAATTTTGAACAAAAATAGTTTTGTGCAAATTTTAAATTAACACAATATCATTTTACGAAATAAATAAAATACAAAATATTTTATATATTTTTACTGAAATACAAGATAGTGTTTACCCAATATGTATATATATAATGAGAATCTATCAAAACAAAATAAAATTGGATCAACAAATCCTATGTGTAGTTAAAATTATGTGTATGTGAGTTGAAGCCCAATGGATTCACAATCACACGATAATGTCGTGTCATCCATCCTTGTATTAATAATAAATTCATTCATACATTCATTCTAACCTCATTATTTATTTCAATAAATATCTAATATAATGAGTCTGTCTGTAGACTAATTAAGTGACATGTGAGGCTAAAGTCTAAACACAGATATTTTTATGGTATTAAACTGTTCTAGAATTGTATTAATGCTGCTACCAGTACCACTGCTACACTAAAAAAACGTGTCCCCCAAGAAACTAAAGCACTAGGAAGAAAAGAAAACGTGATGGCAACCACATCCACGTGACTAAATTGGTGTGATCCATGGAGTTGTAATAGTGTAAGATTACGAAATTCAAATCAGTGGACATTTGGTATGTTATTTTGTGGCTTAAAATTTAATTTAATATTTGAGTCCAAATATAAGCCAGCCAAAAAAATCAAGAAATAAATCAATTGATGAATTAAACTAGCCGAGATCAGACTTTGTAGGAATTGGGATTTTGAATCCATAACCCCACGGTCGTCACAAATCTAACTCAACCATTAAACCATTTCTTACGGAATCTGTAAAAAGTTATCTTAAATCTTGTTTCTTTAATATTTTGCATATTCTTTAATTAAAAATTTTATTCTATTTTGTTCGTCTATTTTGCAACATGCCTATTGATTTTTCAAATAGAGAAAGTACAATCAATATACGGATAAAAACAAGTTCTCAATAATTATTATTATATATATTTTTTAATATAACACATATACAACTATGACAGAAAACTTCTAGCATATCTTCCTCTTCAATTGGTGATTTCTAAAAAGATCGACCAAATGGTAGCTTACTTTCTTCACTCGTTTCATTATTGTCCTCTAGAGAAGTTATGAGTTTTTTTTTTTTTTTAACCAGTCAAAGTCACCCAATGATATAGTCGATAGAGGCAAATAGTAGAATTCTGTATCGTAAAGGATGACTCGGTGGTATGAAGATAAACTCATGACCGTGAAGTTATGAATTCGAATTCCGACGACTACAGATCTTATCTATCACATATGGTTCACATATATGACTTGTCTTATTGAATCGAATTTGTAGTTTGACTGGAGTTAAGCAAAACTAGACCTTTCTGGCCTACACACAATTTACTTCATTGACCGATCCAAAATCTTTCAAGCCTATTTTTAGATATTCAAACATAATTTTTGTTACGGGTTTCAATCGATTTCTCGCTTATTTTTACTAGTTTTAGTTATAGATAAACTAAAATGAAAAAATATTCTTTACTATAAAATAGAAAAAAATAATATTGTATAATAATCTTAAAAAATAAAAATAATTTTATAGTAATATAAAAACCACCTTTATAATTAATTCATAGCAAATGAATATAAAAATAAAAAAGATATATATATATATATTAATATACTCCCTGAGAGCATCTCCAACTATGCTCCATATCTGGCGTTTCAATACCATTTTTGCCGCCGAGTTGCTCCAATCCAACTTCAGTTCCAGCATCAAATTTAGAGTTTGCTGCAGTGCAACCCCAAATGCTATTTTTTTAAAATTTTTTTTTTAAATTATAAATTTAATTTTAAAATTTAATTTTTATTTTTTAAAATTTTTTTAAACTTTATTTTAAATTATAAAAATAAAAAATTATTTAAAATAATAAAAAAAGTTAAATATTTAAAAAAATAATAAATAATAGAGTTATAATCAGAGAAAATTACTATGGCAAGAGAAAATTACTATGGCTAGTGCATATTTGACGAAGGACTTGAAATGGGGCTAAGCGTGGGTTTCTCAAAAACCCTATACCACCAAGAGCAGAGAGTGAGAGTAAGAGTAAGAGTTAGCTTCCTTGCCCAGACTGCCCGGACTGCCCAATCGCAACCACTTGTTCTTATCGTCACCACTCACTAATCCCTACCGGCCTACCCATAGATACACAATTTTGCTTCTTCCTTTTCTTGATTCTCCCTCTCTCCTTTCTCGTTCTCTCGCTCCACACAAACCAATACCATTCATTCATTGTTCTCCAACCTTCCTTCCTGTATTCCAATGGAAGAAGAACATCAACAATAATAGCAAACTGAAAATGAAAACCAAAACCAAAACCAAGAAGAAGAAGATGATGATGATGACACTGAATTCAGATTCTCCCGCAAATCTCGTCGTAAACTAGGTTCCTTCCTCTCCTACCTATTTGGATTGGATGCTCTCGACATACCCTACCTACATACAGACGAGCCTCATGTTTTCCTTCTTCTTGTTCCTCTTCTTCTTCTCTATTGCTTCTCTTTTCTCTTCTGTTTAAACAATAATATACACACACTACGTCTCTTCTGTCTCCTGCTCCACTTTCTTCTAGGTTTTTTTTTTGTTCCCGTGCTTGTTTATTTGTCTAAGATAAGATTGGTTCAGAGGCAGCAATGGCGCTGCTGCTGATTGAGGCTTTCCTGGAGATTTTTGCAAGGCCGCCTACCATCTCGGCGATGGCGATAGGGATTGTACAGCTTTTAGGACCTCTTTCGATTGCTTTTATTTTGGGGATGGTGGTGGGGTGGGTTTGGAAACCTAGGTGGGCGGGGGCGGCTACCTTTCGGAATTGCAAATTTGATTTTTCGCCACCACCTTCACCTTCTACCTCGGCTCATCATCATCTTCCTCAACAACAACAACAAGGCCGCCTTCCTCCCACCGATTCTTCTCGTCACATGGTTAATGACGGTCCTTTTTGCAGGTAAGTTCTTAATAAACGAAGAAACCATCGCTTGTTTCGTTATCTTCTACTCTGATACTTCTTATACCATTTTTACTAAACTAATTAGGAGGATAACATCATAATATGACAATCTTAAACCTTTAGGAGGATAATAATTTGTGCCATCCTTTGTGGTTGTGGTTTGATTTTGTTGTGGTGAATTTGAGATTAGGGTTACTGATATGTTTTTATTTCCTAATGATTTGGATAAATTACTGTGAATCAATTGAAGGGGGAAGTAAGTGCAATGAAATTCGTACCTTTTACTTTGTATATGCAGTAAGTTTGTTAATCTAGTAAAACTGCCATTAACTCTTATTTCTCAAGAAAACCAGAGGATTAGAGGTACTTGATCTAGAATCAATGATCTGGGACGATTAATACATCAATCTTCAAGAAAATTTTGGAACTTTAGATATGTTCATAGTTAATTTGTTGTTTGGAAAGCAAGCTGATGGAGAAGCAAAAATCTTCCAATACTATTAACTTACATTAACCTCCATTGATAGTTCTTCAGAAGTTGAGAAAGAAAACAGTGAGCTTGTTACATATAAGGATTTGGACCATTTGTTCTATCTAGTCGGAAGGAAAGATGGAGGACCCCCTTGGAAGCATATGATGGATCGATCAACCGAAGATATGAGCTACCAAGCATGGCAAAGAGACCCGGAGGTCTTATAAATCCATTCATCTTCCATAATCAATCAATTTTGTGATCATGCATCACCTGTGCTGAATTTTTCCGTATATGGTTGGGTGATTTTTCAGAGAGGCCCTCCCCAGTATCGTAGCAGGACTGTGTATGAAGATGCAACTCCTGAGTTATTAAGGGACTTCTTCTGGGATGATGAGTTCCGTTTGAAGTGGGACAATATGCTCATGCACGCTTCAGTTTTAGAAGAGTGCTCTACCACGGGAACTATGGTCGTTCATTGGATACGCAAGGTTGGTAAAGGATATATTTGCTGCAACACAGTTTCTTCATGTTCTGTTCTTGCTATCTTCATAATATATATCTAACTCTTGACTGACGGGTGTGTGGATTTTGCTCAGTTTCCATTTTTCTGCAGTGACAGAGAATACATAATAGGCCGCCGGATATGGCAATCTGGATGCTCATATTACTGTGTGACTAAGGTAAAAGACAGGTTTTTTTTATGTGGTTGTTTTCTGCTTCATTTGGGATTAACTCTACTGATTTTAATGGCAATCTTTTGTAAATCCTGCAATAATCTTGAGTAAACTTCAACCTAGAAACTTGATAATAAAGCTTATAGTATGTAGTGTATATATATATATATATGTTCGTTTCTTTGATTGATTAGCATCATATGATCTTAATCTAGGGAGTTCCCAATGAATCAACACCAAGGAAAGAAAAGCCGCGCCGAGTTGATCTTTACTACTCAAGTTGGTTCATTCAACCAGGTAAAAGTTCATGCAAGCAGTTAGCTTTCTTAAATGTTTGATTCTCGACAAATAGTCATCGATGATCATGTTCCATGGATCTGATCTGATCTGAGTGGGAGCTTGTGTGTTTGTTTTGGTTGCATCAGTGGAATCAAGGAGAGGGAACGGACAATTATCTGCATGTGAAGTGGTACTGTTCCATCACGAGGACATGGGAATCCCGTGGGAAATCGCAAAGTTCGGCGTACGCCAGGGCATGTGGGGAGCTGTGAAGAACATTGCACGGGGATTCCGAGTTTATCAAAAACACAGGGCGACTAAAGCGTCGCTCTCCCATCATGCCCTCATGGCTGAGATCAATACAAAGATTAGTCCCGACTACTTGAAGATCCTGGAAGGCGGCGGCGGGGGGACGGATGAGGAGGAGGGTACATCAGATGAACCACAACAGCAGTTGCAGATGGTTGAACCAGTGGGTGTGGGTGTGGGTGTGGGTGTGGGTAGGGGGGGTGAGGGGAAGATTATTCCGAGGTTTTGGGTCATTGCTGGGGTAGCTGTGGCTATTGCTTGTAGTCTGGACAGAGGATTCTTGACTAAGTCACTCATATTTGGTGTTGCCAGACAGTTTGGTAACATAGGAAGAAGAGTTCGAGTTTCTGCCACTCCTAATTAATGACTCAGAGTCTATCTGCTGCTACCAGTCTTTATTTATTTATTTACCATTTTTGGAGAGGAAGGAAAGAACCCCATTTGTTTCCATCATGTACCAATGTTGACATTAAGAGAATAATAACAATAATAATAATCATGAAGATCAATTAAGATACTGATAATAAATATGCTGGCTAACTTAAGCGGGCATGTATGTACGTATTTACATGTGTTTGTATCATATGAATAGGTTTTTGTGTGGATTTAGCTAAGCAAAGAAGCAAAATACGATTAATTTCTTATTCTGGACTTCTCAGCCAGCAAGTCTGAGAAAACCCAATATATGAACCCTCAAAAAGCCTTTAAATAAACCCCACCCTACATTATTAGATGTGCATGATCGAATTGGTTGCGTTTGTGAAGAAGAAAGCATGAGAGAAAAAAGGGATAGTTTTGTTTCTCCACATATAAGTGACTGGTGAAGCTTCTTTGCTGGTAAGGAAAACAAGAAATGCCCCTCAAAATACAAATAGACAGAGCTATTAAACAAACCAAACCAAACCATTCGTAATCTAAACACAATTCAATTTGGCTCAATTTAAACTCGCTTGCTAACATAAATTAGTCAAGTCCAACAACATAATAAATTCATTTAATTAACAAACAAATCCGAACCTTATTCACAATCATTCATTAAAATGTATATGATTTAAAAAACTAAAGAAAATATAATATCTATCCAAACAAGCTTAATCAGATTCAAACAAGCCCAAACAAGTTTAAACCAAACTGAACACCAACGCAAACAATAAAATTGATAAACAAACTGAACTTGAACACTTCAAACAAGCTCAAATGCTTAACAACAAACACGAGTCTTGTTCACAAACATATAAAATTTTGTTTGGTTCAACTCGTTAACAGCTCTACAAATGGGAGAGTTACACCGTAAAATATGTGAAAACCAACCATACAGGCAGGCAGTTGAATGATATGCTCACTAAATTCCCCATAATGAAATGATCAGCACTCACTCACTAATTCAGAACAATGGGAGTTCAATACCATCCAAGCACATTTTGCATAATCAAAAGCCCAATGGTCAATGCAAGTATATATAGAGCACCTGAAGCTAACACAAGATACTATTAGCAATAAAAAGTGTTCCACTTGGCTCCAATTGAACAAATAAACCACAAACCTTCTCCACCAGAACAACAAGTTCATAATAACAACCAAATAAGACCAAATGAAGAGCCGCACAACCAAATCTAAAGCTCAAGATATCCAAGATTGGCACTAGAGACAGTATAATAACAAAGATATTTGAACCATCAAATTTTGATAGTATGAAATTACTCGCAAAAATTGGAAATTGATGAACTACAACTGTCAAAACATGGTAGGTATGTTTCCTTACGCTGCAGAAGCCAACAATGGTGATCTATAGATGTAATTCAAATTAAATAAATAGTGATACAAAAAGCACTCTTAATCAAATAAGCTGAAGCCCATGTCATCATCGCTCTCCTCCTCCTTTGTTTCCTCCTGAAAAATAAATAAACAAATTTGCAGTCATTAGTCGTCAGCATCTTACCATAACATGGATAATATGTATCTCTTGGGCCAAAGACCTGATTTAGTTTAAAACTAAAACGTCGTTTAACTTATTTAATTATACAAAGGCGTAGACAAACCACAGAAAATTCTACAGAACTCACTAGCAAGTTATACATAAAAAGATCATTTACTCTACAAAACGGGGTAAAAAAATCATTATTTTCACTCAATAAAATAAAACAATCGATGCAAATACCTTTTTCTCCTCCGTAGCAGGAGCAGCGGGTGCTGCACCACCTGAAGCCCCGACGGAAGGAGCTGCAACAGCAACAGCGGCCCCACCACCGGCGCCAATGTTGACTATAAGATCCTCAACATTCCGCTTCTCGCAAAGCTTAGCGAAAAGGCTAGGCCAGTACGACTCCACAGATACATTCGAAGCCTTCAACAACGCCGCAATCTTCTCCGCCTGAAAAAAAAAAAAAAAAAAAAAAAGTTGATCGAAACTAGAAATGTATGATTCCTTACATGAACGGAATAATGAAATTGAGTAGAAGATATAATACCGTGACGGCGATGCCATCATCATGAAGAATCAAGGAGGCGTATGCGCATGCAGCTTCGGCGATCGACATCTTCGTTCAGAGGCCGGCGAGAGACGATAATTCCAAACGAGGAGTTGATGCCCAGGCGGCACAAAGGCTGGTGCGGTTTAGTCAGTGTGTTTAGGGTTAGGGTTACACTCCTTTGATATTATATAGAATACTACTTTTGCATCTATACCCCTCTAAATTATAGAGTTTGGCATTTCCTCCTTCCATTTTCCATTTGTGACAAAAACTGCCCGCCCCATTAGTAATTGTTGTTTGAAATAATTTTGGTGTTATAAGTTAAATTGAAACAAGAAATAAATATTAGAAGTGTAATTAAAAATAATAATAATAATAATAATATATATTTTCTGATAAATAACACTTATTGAAAACATATAGATGAAAACCTTTAACAAAATACAACAAATCATTACTAATTTATTATTAATCATATTTATTTCAATCAAACAATAAATTTACCAGAAATACTCTCCATTTAAAAAATTAATTATGTGCTAACATCTTTAGGACTTTTCTTTGTTTGGTTTGTTTGATTTTTTATTTTATATTATTTTGATACAATGTCTTATATAAATAATATTACATTTCATTGGGACTTTTTTACATAATAATAATACAAAAAATTGAAATAAGGTGTAAAAAACATACACATTTTTATATACTCAAATTTTTAAGAATAAAAATGCTTGCTGATAAAAACAAGACCGAAAAACACTTTCAATCAAGTGATTGGGTATACTCAAAGAAGCTCAATCTATTCGACAAACATCCTTGCACCAGTCATGTACCAGTGTATTTACCGGTGAAATTTTGTTTCCGATTCTACCATTCTCTAACTTTTTTCCCTCCTCCAAAACATCAATTCAAACACTCTTTATTTTCTTTTTTTTTTTTTATTTTATTACACTAAAATCTAATTTTACATTTAAAATATCACATCAATACATATTTACATCACATCAAACAACTATTTCAGTTCAAAACCAAAATCCAAAATCAAAATCACACCAATTTATGTTGATTTCACTTCTATGCAAACCCATTTTTACCAGAAAAACAACTGAATCTCCTTCTCCCCTCCTTTTCTTCCTTCTCAATCAACTCATGACATAAGAATATGCAAGAATGTATCAACCTACAGATAGAATTATTATTTGGATCGATAGCAATTTTATATATAAATGGACCCTCGGCTTCTGCAAGAAGGTTATCGCAAACCAAAAAATCTCACCCCTGACACCACTACCCCTTCTCATGCACATATATTGTCTCATTTCCACAAATGAACAGTCAATACGGTGTGGATGATGATGATGACGATATAAAGAGATAGTAGTAAGACATCAGCAGTCATCAATACCACGTCCGATAAAGTAAGCAGTATGCTCAAACAAATCTCCAGAAACAGCAAGAAAACATTAAAAAAAGAAAAAAACATGATTGTTCTGGCCTGGTCTAGTGAAATCTTCATAATGCCTCAATGATAAGCTTCTGTAAGTATTCAATTATTAATGCAGTAGAATCACAGTCTAGTCTAGTCTAGTCTGCAGAAGCACCGACAAACATAGGATGATAAAGAGAGGCTCTTCTTGGACAAGAACAAGGACCATCAGGTTCAGGTGGCACTACCAGATCTTGCCTGCAATACAACAATAAAACATGAATGTGCAACAATACTGGGGTTTTTCCTGTCCAACATGCCAGCCAATTCTTACCTTGTGTGGGGATGGCGACCTTGATTTCGACTTGGATCTTGATCTTGACTTTGATCGGGACCTCGACTTAGGTCTGCAAATTTAGGCCAAAGAGGTATCATAGCGGTTTGACAGCAAAGCAATGTGCCACACAATAAATAAATGATAAAGCATCTATCCCCATTCATACCTGGAAGGTTTCACAGGAGATGCTGACGGTGATGGTGATCTTGAACGAGACCTGTCTTCTGATTTGCTGCAAGAAGGAATATCATTTAACATTTCAGCATCTGCCACAAAATCAGGTAGCCAACACCCAGTCTGCTCCCAAATTTCAGCTGAACAGGTCGGTTATTTAAAAGTGCATAATAAACATTAGCAGCATATAAGCACCTTCTCCTACGGGGGCTTCTACTTCTACTGCGACTTCTACTTCGGCTTCTTGAAGGACTGCCCTTGTATTCCTTCACCTACAAGCAAAGGAATACCATAGACATCTAAGGATGAAAGCGAAACTCAGTTTACCAAGGACAAAGGAAGTGCATATTCCGCAATGCTATGAAGGAGTTGGTTGAGATACACATCATAAGAACTACCTCCACCCTAAAATTCTAAAGAATGAGAAAGGTGCTCATGAAAATTTGTAGAGCTCCATGGACATAAATGCAGCCAACAAAAGAATTACCCGGATATAGGTCCTAGTCCAAGGATTCCTGAATTCACTATCATCAAGTTTGCGGATCTGGAAATTCCAAATTGTGTTACCAATCTTGCTGAATCTAATTAAAAGGGCCACAAGGTTAATAAACTCCCCCACAAAGATCAATATAGACTTACAGCATATTTCATGTCTTCATAATTGGTATAATCAACAAGCCCATATGTTCCTGCATTTGACATAAACGTCAGCACCAAGGATTTCATTAGATCTAATCATGTCAAGCATTAAATCTGAATGAGCATGCATTAATTTATCAACCGTAACCAAAATCCTAGAAATTCCAAAGTTTTATTGAATGTGCAAAAGCAGAAAAAGGTATTCATTTATAGAATACATTTATGATGACAGTACAAGCAACAAATGATACCTTCACTGTCACGAGAAACTTCAGCAAAACAGACATCCCCGGCTCTTCTCATGTGATCCTGAAAATATTTTTAAAACGAGTAGGGTAATCATCTATCAGGACAAAATATTGGAGAGGGAAGGGTGATGAAAAGTTATTCATTTTTTTCAGAATAGTAAACTAGACTAACCTTCAGATCTTGCCAAGATGCAGAAGAAGGAAGGCCACGGACGATAACTATAAGATGAAAACAAACAGACATACGCAAGTTCCATACAAAACACAAACTCCTATCAAGCCAAGCCACACAGCTCTGTAAATTTACTTACCTCGATATTCTGAATGGCGAGAAACACCATATCGACCGCCACTGCCGCCGCCGCCGCCGCCACCCCCACTCCCTCCACCGCCACCACTGCCATAACCACCACGGCGATCACTTGAGGATGACGGACCTCTTCCACCATGTGCAAGCTCAACCTGCATAATGTGTGATGAAAATTAGAAAAAGAGTAGGGGATGCAAAAGAATTACCAAGGTGTGTAGTCAACTGTAGTCAATTACTCTCACCCTCAATCTACAACCATCAAAGTTATAGCCATCTCTACCCCTGATAGCATCTTCTGCATCCCTAGAACTTCCAAACTGTAAGTATACAAAAACAGTGGAATCAGAAAACAGGTATTGATACTAGGCAAGACAAAAAGAGTAGATGCATTTACAGGCATAAGGAATAAATTAATTAACACATCAATATATATTTGTGTGACAATTGCATAGATAAAAGTTTACAGAACAGAAAAAATACCTCCACAAAACAATAACAAGGTGGTCGTGGTGGAATCTTCAGTTCAATATCCAATATGCGACCATACTATAGAAACAAAAAAAAAAAAAAAGAAATGATTTTAGAAATAAAGACCAAAAATACAGATACGATATGTGAGGAAGGAATATTTTCCAAGATACATTATTTTGAAATGGAATAAAGGTGTACAGAAAAGACAGAACACAGAAAGAAGAAGTTTACCACACCTTGTAAAACAAATCTTCAATTTCAGGCTCTCTAATATCAGCAGGAAGGTTACCAACATAAATTGTGCGGGAGAAACGGCCACTCATTTTTGGTACTTGAATCAGAAATCAATAGCAAACACTGCACATAGAGATTGATTCATGAATGGGAACCAACCCAAAATAGTGAAACAATGCCAGTTTGAGAGTATCCTATACATCTTTTAGTACCATCGGGTGATTTGACAGAAAAAATCAGAGAAGAATAAAACTTATAAAGCAAACCAAGAGAGCAATCCTTGAGGTGAGCCGTGCTCCACAAGCTCCATTGCTCATATGCTCCATGATACTCCAGAGCTATTTTATATTTGAATTAAAATATGATCTCCTCATCCTCTCTAAAATTTTTGCCAGATGAATAGCTCTTCAGAGAGTGAGCAAGACTTCCAATTATATATAAATACCAAAGATTCCACCCTGATATCTCCCACTCCCAATTTACATCCCTATGTATGATTGCAAAGCTCATATTTGTCCATGCGCTTGACATCTATCATAAAGAAAGCATTCATAAGATGAGGTAAAATTGTCAAATACTCATGTACTCACCTTTTTCAGATTTGTTACATAGTGGGGAAAAAACTGATCCCAGAGATTTTGTAACATACGAGTAACTGTTCATGGCTTGTCCGTTTGACATGGCGTACTTACCATGGTTCCATAGATGATGCAATTGTGTTTCTTTAAAAGAATGGATAAATACAGGGCTTCGGATAATGATTAAAAACATGGAGGTTCTCACCGACTGACTATAGGACAATTTCAAATAGAAATTTCAGAAGTACATCTAGTATGTACCACATAACAATTTAAAAAAGATAATCAACTACCATCTGATACATAGAAAATCATTTTACAACCAGATTAAAGATATACATTTTAGAAACAGAAAGAAAATAGTTCAAGCCACAAAGGTACAAGAACCAGATAGTTTAAGTCAGAATAAAGGAAAAGAAGCCTGGATACAGAAAGAAAATGTTCAACCAGATTAAAAGTACAAAAACACCGTTACAGAAAGGATATGGAATTTTCCATTTATCATCCCTGGTCCAATGAAGGCTCTCCACGACAACTATAAGCATTATGAAACGGTAGAACATAAAGTGGAAGGCGGCACAACTGAATGACAGGACAATTAATCATTACTACTTAATTTGACCAGTGTAAAAGTTTGTTAGATTAGACTTAGATCCAGGAAATGTATCCATAGAAAAGCAGTTAAAACTAAATGCATTTCTTAACTAATCTAAATTCATAATCAAAGTCATTCGCACTCACAGGAACAAGGGAAATAGAAATCCACAATTTAGTAAATGTGAAAGTAAAAAGCTCTAAACTCCAGCTAAATTCCAACACATTCTACTCCATGAAACAAGTGAAACCAAAACTCATATAGCAATGGCATTCTAGAAACCAACTGTATCTTCTGTCTAATTTTGTAGCAATATATATAAGTTTGTACACACAATGGAGAGAAAAAGACAAACAAAAATCAAGCTATCTTCCTTTGACTTAAAAGGATGGAAAATATGTCAAACAATAAAATCAGGCCAATGCATTATCATAATGTTTTCGCCATTGAAATTTGAAACGAATTGGAGATTCATCCATTCTTCGTATGTCCTTAGACGCATTGAGTTACATTAGGTTCAGTGCATAGTTCAGACAAATCCACTCACGTCCATTTCAGAGCTAGAAACTGAGCGATGCTGAAATTCTCCAGATAATTATTAAGCCGGGCCCAGAAATTCAAATCTCACTTTAATTTCAACACGACTAAACATCGTAGAAAACAGTAACTGACAATCAAACATGGTCACGAATAAGGACTAGAGCCTCACCAGAGCAGAAAATAAACTCCGCAGCGTAAACAGGCCTCGCGCAAATCGACTTTCCGAAGCAGAGCAGCTCCCTCAACTCGAATGTCGTCCCTGAAACACGATTAAAAATATTCAACCGTGAAGAAACCGAAAACCAGAAAAGAGGCGCAATACAAGCATTATAATCCGTCCGAGGGCGGAGATGGAGAGAATATCGCAAGCACACCTGCAGTAGAGTTTGGTCGGCGCTTCGACAGTGTTCCGCGACCAATTCTCGACTCTGCTCAGGTAGCCAAGCCAGCCTAGGGTTATTATCTTCTTTTCAGTTTGCAGAGAAGGTCCCCAAGTCTCTGTAAATTACAATCACCTCCCTGAAAGAACGCTTTCCTAATTGGGCCGGTCTGGGCTGGGCCTCAGACGTGAGCCCATTTCAAAAACAGAAGTAGAAATCAAAACTGAAATACTACAAAAGACAAGACTGTGAAAAAAAGCGCGGTGTGTAGGGAAAGAAGCGTTTTTGAGTTGTTTTGACTTTTCCATGGCTGCTGCTATAAGTGTTGTAACTTGGTTCGATACATTCGATGTGTTGTGCTGTGTGTACGAACTACGAAGGAACGGACGACGTATCACGTTACCTCTCTGCGTCTCTCGCCCAATTTCGGTGGGTCCATTTCATTGACGATGCAGCACGCTATGAATCAGGCTCCTTCGACTCCACTCCATCTCGTCACCACCGAGCAGATTCAGAAGGTCGCTTCTCTATGTCAATCGTTTTTGTGTTTTCGTGTATAGGGTAAAGCGGATTTTATTTGAGTGTTGTTTTACTTTTACTTTTACTTGGATAGTTGATTTAGCAATTTTTTAGTTTCAAGGAGGTTTCGTTTCGACTTGAACTTTTGAAGGGCGTGGTTTCTTCTCCCCCCCCCCCCCCCCCCCCCCCCCTTTTTGAGAATACCGTGTTTATATTTTTTTGATTTACTGATAATGTGCTGTTTTGATAGTTATTTATGTTTCACAAGTTAGGTTGTTTTCCCACCAGGTCTCCTTTTTTGGGCGAGCTTTTGTTTTTGATCCATTTGAAGATAAATTTTAGCGTAGAAACGTAAATGTACAGCCTCTTTTGCGTTCCATTATTTCGAAACCTGATGCTAGTATTCAAATATGTTTACAATGTTGATGGCGTCACTAAGAAAAAGGTTCTGATCTATTGACGATTTCTATATTTTTTGTCTGTGTGGTATTATTACATGCTCTACATCAAATTAATCCAAATGAATTTTTGGTATTAATATACTGAGGATATTTGTTTCGAGATTCAAGTTAGTACAAAGCCATGTATGGTATTTTGTCTATTTGCAGCCTGTTTGCAACTGCAAGTATTTTCTTGTGATTTTGAACTAGAAAGGCAAATAAGGTATCTGTTCTTGGAGTTTACTGATGACCGTTTGATGCAGTATCTGGATGAAAACAGAAACTTAATTGTGGCAATAATGGAGAGTCAGAAAACGGGAAAGGTGGCCGAATGTGCACAGTGAGTCACACTTGTTTTAGTTGAGCAACACGCAGATATGTGAGAACATTTTTTTCATTCATATTGCTTCTGATCACAATATGACCGGGTTTTTTTGTGTGATGCCTGAGATTTAAAACCTGCTTGAAAATTAAAAGCAGGTTCACTGGTTTATATCTGAATGATTTTCAATCACATAATTTTCTTCATCGCTTAGTACCTTTGTTGGGCTGCATTGCAAACATAGAAAGAATTTGAATGGATTGAAGGTTGTCTTTAGAAAGAATTTATTTGGGAATTGCACGTTGTTTTCTTCCCGATTTGATTTAGTTAATGGATGTGGGAATACTTAAACTTGTCTTCTTTACCATATGGAAAGGACATTCTTGTCTCATCCAATGTGGGTTTCGCGCACACACAGATAAAACTAGTAGTCCTTCAGAAGTTATTAACAAAAAAATGAAAAACCATTGTATTGATATATGGATGTAAGTAATTCTTTCACTCCCTAGCAAAATCCTCCCTGGTTTTCAGTCTGGGGCAGAGCTTTCTCATTCTCTTCATGTTTTTCTTCATTCTCTATTGTCGCTATAGCATTATTTTGTTGCACAACCGATTTTCTTGATTTGAATTTAACTCTCTACCCTGACATGGACTGTTAAAGCATCTTAATGTTCTAATGTTTCAGGTATCAAGCCATCCTTCAAAAGAATTTAATGTATTTAGCAGCAATTGCTGATGCCCAGCCCCAAGGATCCACTTTGTCTTCACCGGTAGGACAAAATTTCTCAACTATTTGCATGTGAAGCGTATGCTAACATCGGGAAAGCATTGCAGGCTCCAAGCTCAGTTACTCCACATGGAAATTCCCAGATGATGCAAACCCCATCATCTGCAATGCAGCAGCAAGCTGGAGGCTCCATTCCCAAGCTGCCATTCCAGCTCAATGCTCTCCGGCCTCAAGATCAGCAGAATCAACTGATGCAGTTTCAACAGATGCAAGGTGGCCACTTCAGTCTCGGAGGTGGTGCCAATAATGGGCTGCATATGCTTATGCAACCGGGGGCTGGAAATTCAGGCGGTTTGCGTGACTTGAGAATGAGCCAGCAGCCGGGCAGTGCAATGGAGGCTAGTTCTGGCGATGCTCAAGGTAACTCGGGTTTAGGACATATGGAGGGCAGAGAATGAAATTTCACATTTCTTGCTTACTTTTTGTCATCATCGTCGTCATTTACTTAGACTCAGACTCGTTAGTGAAGTTCGACTAAAGAGAGCAATGAAGAGATTTATGGGATGTTAGCATTGCAATAGCATGATGTGTTTCTATTATATGTTCTTTTGTTGTTAATTAAGGCAAGTTTTTATCACATAAGGCAGCATAACTGGCTGGAATTGTCTCCTTTCTGTCGAATTTGAACACTACAAACAAACCAACCAACCATCCAACTGTATAAAGAATCAAGTTAGTTCTATATATAGCCATTAAAAGAACATCTATCAGACGGGCTAATTTAATTATCATACTTGTTTCATTTAAAACACAATAATACACTGCTGCATTGAAGTCTATGAGAGACAAACATCCTTGCTTTGTCTTGACAAAGCTCAAATTCAAGAATTGGCAGAGTTTGATTCAAATGAAACTGGAAGAAGTGCATACAGTTAAGCCACTCTGCCATTCATTTCCACTTAGTTCAAAACTGTGGCATCAAGAAAACTCCATAAACTGAAATGAACATCATGGTCATAGATGAACAAGTTTCAAAAGTTGTGTATGAGCATGAATGGAGATGTGAGGATGGAGCTGCAGCCCAGTGAGTAAATAACAAATGGCAAATACAACAGGGGACAGGCTGGCTGGCTAACAATTCTTCTTCCTTTCTTAGTCATCATGCCATTAAAGAGGGAGGGCCTGCATATTACTGAAACTATTATATTAGTTAATAAGCTGTTTATATATGTATGACATTCTAAATCATGGCAATGGCAATGGCAATGGCAATGGCATCATATTATATGTACACTTTCTGCCGCCACTAGCAAACAAGTGATGAATGAATGAATAATAAATAGAATGAAAGATATAACAACATCATTTAAAGAACATCCATGCTTTGCTATCTATCTATCTATGCATCATCTGGTTAAGAACAGAAGAAGAAGAAGAAGAAGAAGAAGAAGAATTAGAGTTATAAATTAAAAGTGGGTATGGTATTGATGGATATAGATGGTGCAGATAGAATGGGAGAGAGAGAGAGAGAGAAATGGGGAATGTGAGTGAGGAAAGGAGGGAGGGAGAAGAGCTGAGGCCAGATTGTGATGAGCATTCTCTCTCTAGATTTCTGGGCTGGGTGGTGGTTGGACAGAGTCAGTACATTATACATTTTCACTCATTAGGTACTATTTATCTTTAAAAACAATGTTACATTAATTTCCTTTTTTTCACAAAATATAGAATCAAATACTAAATTTTACTTTCTTTTTTTTTTTTTTTTTTTTTTTTTTTTTTAATTTTCAAAATTCAAAAGCCTCCAAAACTTCGTATACAGACAAAGCTTACTCACTTAACTCACCTATCATTTATTACCACGCGCTTTCTTCCTATTATATTATATATTCAATCATTCCTCCTTGCCTTTCTATTTCTTATTATTATTATTATGATGGAAACAGATCTTAGTTCCTCCTATTGTATATATAATAGCACAGTACTGTGACATGAATTACTATACTTTACTTATAAGTTGCTAAATTTAGTTCGAATTCTAGCGGTAAATGTAATCAATTATTATGTAAAATTAGTATGAGAAGAGTATGCATGATAGATGGATCATACATTCATGGATGGACTTTTTAGGTTGGGTTACCACTTATTTTTACTATAGCATTCAATAATTATTTTTTTTTAATATTATATTATAAATTTATTTTACATTTAAAATATCACATCAATTTTTATTTATATCATATAAAATAATTATTCAAATTCAATTTTTTATTATTCAAAAATCCAAAACTCACACACAAACACACAGTAATGACTGCAATGCAGACTGCAGTGCGCCGGATCCCATCTTTAATTTGGATATAATAATAATAATAATAATAATAGACATTCATTATTGTTATTGCTATTAATTAATTAGCAACAACTACAACTGCTACTGCTACGGTCTCACCTAGCTTCTTCTCCTTCCTTTAATGCTTCTTTTTTTTAGTCTGTCCCTCTTTGTTTCTACGTCTACGTCTACTTATACTGTTGTGTCGTCTGTGTGCGTTCAAATATCATCCCTTTGTCTCGTATCTATATATTTATTTATTTATTGAGGAAATTTTATAAATATTAATATTATATTTAAATAAAGTAAAAATTAAAATAAAAATACTAAATTAATTTTAATATTGTATGATATAAAGATAATGACATTTGTGTAATATATTCTAAATTGGAAGGCTATTTGTAATGTTAAATAGATATTACAATTATTAAAAAAATAAAATAAATATTTTGTTATGGATATATCAAAATAAAAAAATAGATAGATTGTTAAGGGATGGAGGGAGTAATAAACAAATCAACTATAGTAGTTTGAGTGTTTGGATTTTGAGTTCGAAATTTCAATAAAAATTTTTTTGAATTTGAATAAGTGTACGATGTGATATAAATAAGTGTTAAATATAATATTGATTTTTAATATAATATAAAAAATAAAAAAATAAGTAATTAATTTGATGTTTTTGAATTAAAAAAATTAATGAATAATAAAAATCTTAACAAATTCCCCGAACAAACACACCCTATTATTATTATTATTACTTTCATATCTCATCTACTATGTCCACATTGCATGTCTGTCTCACATCTCATTCTATTTTTTTTTTTTTTTTAAAAACAATTACATGTTTTACTCCCATTTTATTTTTTTTTAATTTTAATTAAATTAAATAATTATTTTAATCTTAATTTATGATTATTTATATTATATAATAATTATTTTTATCAATATATTTTTAATTATCTATTAATTATATTTATCATTAACTCGGACATATAATGTGGAACGGATGAAATATTATTATTATTATTATTGATGTATACATTGTACGTGCACTCAATAGATACCAAATAATCACAATCTTTTGGATGTCTTATATATAAATATTTCTCCATAAAAGTTAATTACCCAACCTCCAATTAAAATGATGCTTTTCGTGTGCCCCCATGGAGCACTACTCTTCACATTATATCTTCATAAATCCATTTATATAATTAATTAAATAATATTCATAAAATATAAATAATTTTTACATTATAAATATTCATTACAACGGTGGTTGAATTCATGTTACTTCTTTACTATTAATATCGCCGTGCCCATCACCATCACAATGCACGCTCACAATATCATACTAATTGGGTTTGGTTAGTGTTTAAATTCAGCTTGTGCCTTAAATTTTAATAATTCTAATTTATGTATTTAAATAATATAATTATATATATGCTAAATTGTACAAAATTCATCCGTGGTTTCACGAAATTGCGTCAAATTCTCCGTACTTCTAAAAATGCGTCAAACTTCCTCGTGGTATCATAAACTCTGCGTCTGCGTCTAACCCCTCGACGGTCCTTATTACAGGGGGCGTGAGAATGGAATTGCAGAGAAATGAGAGTAGAGAATAAAATTGGAAAGAAAGGAAATTGAGAAGAGAATGAAAATTAATTCTCTTGTTTGGTAGAATAGAGAATTCAGTTGAGAAATATAAAAAAAATAAAAATGAATGGATCGGACAATAATAAATTATTAATCTAACAAAAGAGAGTTTTAGCAAGTGAGAATCATGAAAAAATATTTATGGTGACTTTTTTTAAAACAAAAAATTATAAATTATATAAGAAATTTTGTAAGATCATATTTTAGTATAAATTTTTGTAAAAAATTAAATACTTAAATGATAAATTAAAAATATTTTTTGTAAAACTGAAATAATATAATATAAATAATTATAAAAATTAAATAGTAAAAAAAAGAATTAAAAAAATAAAAATATATATATTGGAACATCATTTCTTTCCATTTATCTGAATATATAAGAAAAATGAAAATAGATAAATGGAAATGATTTATTTCTCAACTTCCATTTCTCTAACTCAAACAAACAAGAGAATCTACTGCCAATTCTCTGTACCAAACACACCCTTACAGTATTTGACCCCAAACTGCAAATAAATTTTAGAATCTTAATTTCTAAACCCCTAAAATTACAAATATATTTATTATTCTTGCATTTAGCTTTAAAAAATATTAAAAATAAACTCTTAAAACCTCAAGAAAATAACTATTATTTAGTATATTTACTATTTTTTGAGGCTAAATATAAGAAAAATAAATATATTTGTAATTTTAAAAGGGTTTAGAAGTTTGAGATTCTAAAATTTATTAACAGTTTGAGCGCATTTAGGTCAAATACAATTAAATAAAAACCGCTGAGGGGTTAAACGCACAGTTTATGAAACCACGAGAAAATTTTATACAATTTTAGAAGTATAGGGGATTTGACGCAATTTTATGAAATCATATGTAAATTTTGTGCAATTTAGGCTTTTTTATATATATATATATTTCTAGGGCAATTCTAATTTATGTATTTAAATAATATAATTATATATAAATATTTTTAGGGCATAAGTATGATACTCAATTTAAAAAATTAACACCCTAACTCATCAAATTTAGCCTTTTATATATATATATATATATATATATTTATAGGGCAATTCTAATTTATGTATTTAAATAATATAATTATATATAAATATTTTTAGGGCATAAGTATGATACTCAATTTAAAAAATTAACACCCTAACTCATCACATACTAATTACTATTTCTCCATTCACTTGATAAAGTAATAATTTCTTTTGGTTTAAATATTAAGAAGTATAAATATTTTAATAATGATTGATACTCACTCGGTCCATTTAGAATATAGATATTTGAATATTTTGGTTTAAATATTAAGAAAATTAACCTTAGTCTGATCACATAGCTTCACGGTCATACGTTCAATTTCTACATTATCAAGACCATCTTTTACTAGATAAATATAAAAATATTTTTAATAATAAGTACAATTATACAAACAAGGGAAAAAAAAATCATTTTGTTCAAATATAACCAAAATTCATCGTTTTTTTCTCTCAATATAAAAATTTTATCAATTTTGATCGTAATATAATCAAAACTCATCATTTTTTGTCATAATATAATCAAAATTCATCAATTTTGGTGCAAATATAAAAATCTTATCAATTTTAGTCATAATACAACAAAACTCATTATTTTTTTGTCCCAATATAATCAAGCATTATTTTTTTTGCTCCCACCATCAACAAACCGATGAAAAATGCTGACGTGGACTTGTAAGATTGTGCAATTTCTTCAAATATAAATATAAAGTTTGATTTCTTTTCACGTCAGCATTTTCCGTCGGTTTGTTGACGGTGAGACGAAAAAAAGATAAGATTTGATTATATTGGGACAAAAAATAATGAGTTTTTGTTATATTGAGACTAAAATTGATAAAAATTTTATATTGAGACTAAAATTGATAAAAATTTTATATTGAGACAAAAAATGATTGAATTTTGGTTATATTAAGACCAAAATTGATAAAATTTTTATATTGAAACCAAAATTGCTGAATTTTAGTTATATCGAAACTAAAAATAATTTTTTCCCAACAAACAAATATAAACTTGCGGGAAAAATATTAGTTTTTTGTTAAATGAATCTTTTACTCTTATATATATAAGAAGGGGAAAAAAAAATAAAAATGCAAGTAACAATCTCATAATAAGTTTATTTTGTAATTAATGGTGGCATGCTGATGCTGATGCACCTACCAACACACAATTTAGTAAGTTCATTATATATATATATATATATATATTTAGTACTATTATTCAATGACAGAAAAGGAATTCCTAAATATATGGTAAATGAAATAATTTTATTGTAACTAATATCCATGGTAAAAATCTGCCAGAGTGGAAACATATACAAATATTGTTTTGCTTATTTATTTATTTAAATTTGAATATTGTTTACAGAGTGAGTGATGCATAAAAAGACAAGACATAATACATACACATATACACACAATCCCATTCATTCGTGGATTCTAGAACTGACTCACTGCAATGCCTAATGGAATTGATGCAGAAGATATATAGGACTAATATATACATACATATATACATATATATATTTTGAGAGAGAGAGAGAGAGAGAGTCGTTAGTCTGACATCTTAGTTTACGAAATGCTGAGCTCAGCCCATCTTCTCATATAAATATTTTTTGGGGGAAATTTTTTTATTTAAAATAAATAATATAATTGGTAATATGTATGTGTATGTGTATGTGTAGGAACTTTTTCTTATCTGGCATTGAATATTTCTCCCTCACCAAAGTCTTGTGCTCTTACCCAGTAATTACAACTATTACATCTCTCTTATTTATTATTATTATTATTATTATTATTTTTGTACAAATAAATAAATATATAGAAAGTAGAAGAAGGAGAGGATTCTTATTATTATTATTAGTATTATTATTAGTATTGTTTATTATTATTATTATTATTATTATTATTAATAAATTCCTTCTCGCCGTTTTCCCCAGAATCTAGCACTGTTAGCGTCGCCGGAGAGTTAAACTTGCCGTCGACCGTCCGACGGGCAAAATCGCGGCTCTGCTTGTATTGGGAATGTTGGGGTGGAGTTACTGCGCCTGAAGAGTTGAGGTTTCCGTCGCTAGATACGACGTCGTGTGGAGTTCAGCCGGAGTTTGAAAAAGTCTACTTTGACCGCCCCTTCCATGAGTAGTTGTAGAAGAGGGCTCTGAGTTTCCGTTGACCGATTCGATTCCAGATTTGAATCTTCCGGCGTAAACTATGGGGCATTGTTGTAGCAAGGGCGTTGCTGCCCACGCCGCCGATAAATACGACTTCGACTCCTCCACAACCGCCGCCGCCGCCGCCTCTACCCCCCGCCCTCCCCCCGTCCCTTCCGGATCGCGTTCCCCTCACGCCCCCGTCAATGGTGCGGCGGCGCGTACACCAGCTCACGCCGCAGCAAGCCCCTGGCAGAGTCCATACCCTTCCGGTATTGCGCCGACGCCATCTCCCGCGAGGACTCCTGGGAGGAAATTCCGGTGGCCCTTGCCCCCTCCATCTCCGGCGAAGCCCATCGTCTCGGCTTTCTTTAGACGCCAACCTGCTGTGCAGCCTACGAAGCCGATACCGGAAGAAACAGCTGGCGCTGCCCGCGAAGACGGAACCGAGCAGGCGCTTGATAAGAGCTTTGGGTATTCGAAAAATTTCTCTGCCAAGTATGAAATGGGGAGAGAAATTGGTCGAGGACATTTTGGCCATACTTGCTGGGCTGTGGGTAAAAGGGGGGAAGTGAAGAATCAGCAGGTGGCTGTCAAGATCATTTCCAAATCTAAGGTACTTCCAGATTATATCTCACAATTGGCACATATTTATCGATTCTTTGAAATTCATAGCTTAAAACTGTTCTTATGAAGCCTTTAGGATGGTTCAAACTGGAGATTGATTCATTTGGGAAAATGATCTTGCAGTGCATTGCATTATGTTGTTGGGACTTTGTTTGTTACATTCTTAGGTTTCTGGCTAAAAGTTTTTGCCCATTCAAGAAAGATTAGCATTAGCCAGACAACCTTAGTTTAGTCTTCTCAGTTGCAAAGTTTGATGAGAATATATGTTGGTAAAGGCAGTGACATGAAGGTGACATTTGTGATGTAGGGCTTTATAATCCAGAGTATGTTATCCATTCTTGTGCCTGGTTAAAAGCCCCCAATTAGGTTTACAGGGGAAAGGCCTTGTTGTACATTGCCAATGTGTGATAAAGCTTATTTAGTATTTTTCGTTTGTGATCTCTATCCTTAAACCGAATGAGTTTGCATTAAAAGGCGAGGAGTTCCCAAAATCTTGTTTATAAATTGTTTTTGACTTTATATGCAATCATTTGGCAGATGACGACAGCAATAGCAATTGAAGATGTTCGTAGGGAGGTGAAGATATTAAAAGCTTTGTCGGGACATCAGAATCTGATCAAGTTTTATGAAGCATTTGAAGATGTTCATAATGTCTATGTAGTTATGGAGTATGTGTCATATCCTTATCTTTTCCTTTTGCCACGTGTTTATGATACATTCTGTATCTTCAGACATCTGAAGGGTTGTTGTTAGATACTTGACTATAATATTTGTCCGGAACACGTGTGTTGTGGATAAGACTAGGCTACAATTTAGACGACTTCATTTAATACCATTTGAAAAATTAGTGTGTTCAGTTACATTTTGTCGTTTTGTGTACGTGCACAGCTACTAGTTACTGGTTAATGGGAAAGTATTGATGACATTGTGTTTTCTGACAGATTGTGTGAAGGAGGCGAGCTGCTGGATAGGATTTTGGCGCGGTAACTTGGCATGATACTCCTAATGTGCTGCTTTAACTAGTTGATTATATACCAGCTTATTGAAATATCCTATTGCTTTTGTATTCCAGAGGTGGACGATATACAGAAGTAGATGCCAGGAACATTGTTGCACAGATGTTGAGCATTGTTGCCTTTTGCCATCTGCAAGGAGTTGTACACCGGGATCTGAAGCCAGAGGTATTGCAAGCTAGCATTCCACTTGTCATGTACATCATGGAACAGTGCATCATGGGATAATCTTCTATTTGGAGGTTTGGATCAATCTGAAAAGGCTCACTTGCTTGCTTTCTTGCAGAACTTCCTATTTGCAACGAAAGAGGAAAATTCTCCCATGAAGGTCATAGATTTTGGTCTATCTGATTTTATTAGGCCAGGTATGGACCAAAAACTCCTTTCGCTCTTGCATCTTTGTTTGAGCATTGGTCCTTTGTTCTTTATCTGGACATTTTGTCCTGGATGTTATCTTCTGGCATCCAGGGGAGTTCCTTGTATACGCAATTTTGTTTTACTGTCATGCTACATAGTGGTTTCTTGAACTAACAGTGCTGAAGCATTGCCACATTATAGATTTAGGATACTTCAATTGCCATAATTGCAGACTTCATTGTTTGTGAAACTACCCCCTAATCATCTCTCTGTTCCATCTTTAAGGGGGTGGGGGGTTCACCTGCAAACTCTTGCCTATTGATCTTATGAATATGCTTGGTGTTTGGTTCAGGCTATATTAATTTTATTATATGCATATCATAGAATTTCTCAGAAATTCAAAATGGCAACAATATGCTTTGGCTGTGATTTATTGCACTTGCATGCTATATGTGCCTTGAGATTTTCTTTATGCACCCACATTTGTGTTTCTTCTATCACTTTATCTTATAGGACTAATCTTTGCCATATATGTATTAAAATTTTCTACTACTGTAATTGCAGATCAACGTCTGAATGATATTGTTGGCAGTGCTTACTATGTTGCACCTGAAGTACTTCACAGATCATACAGTACTGAGGCAGATATTTGGAGTATTGGAGTAATCACTTACATCTTATTATGTGGTAGCAGACCTTTTTGGGCACGAACAGAGTCTGGAATTTTCCGCTCTGTTCTCCGCGCTGATCCCAACTTCTATGATGCGCCATGGCCGTCAGTATCTGCTGAAGCTAAAGATTTTGTCAAAAGGCTTTTAAACAGAGACCATAGGAAAAGAATGACAGCTGCCCAAGCCCTGAGTGAGTTGCTTAATATTATCCTCTATCTAGTTTAGTTAACATGCTTAAAATATGCAGGAAGTTCTCGATTTGGTTTTATGATTCTATTCTGCCTTCATTATACATAGTTTTTGTTTTCAAGACATTAAATTTTATTGAAGTTACTCTGTCTCTTTATTTGTAGCTCATCCGTGGTTAAGGCCCCTTAACTGTGCTATACCTCTGGATATAATGATCTTCAGATTAATCAAGTCATACCTCCAAGCCTCCCCTCTGAAACGTGATGCCTTAAAAGTATGTAATGTAATCGCTCTAAATATGTCTGCATACTAATCTTAAGGTTGTTTGTGTTCTAAATGGAGTTTGATCGTTCTATAACACATTTGAAATTCATCTCCTCTCATTTCTGGAGGGTATTTGTAATTGTTTTGTTCCATAAGATAGATGGATGCTTCTTGAAATGCAGGCTCTGTCAAAAGCTTTAACTGAGGATGAGCTCCTATACCTGAAGATTCAATTTGAACTTCTGGAACCAAAGCATGGCTATGTCACGCTTGATAGTTTCAGAACAGTGGGTGAACTTTTTCTTTTTTTCCGTTGTTATAGATTCTAACCGGAAAACAAACTCACATTTGGATTATGTCCCACCTTTTACATTTACAGGCCCTTATGAAAAATGCAACTGATGCTATGATGGAGTCAAGAGTTACTGATGTTCTAAATGCGGTGAGATATTTCTTGTTACAACAAAGACAATCTGCTTGTTTCTTTTTGCCTTGTGTAGTTTTTGCAACTTTATATCATTCATATAATTACATATATACATATATATACTTTAATTACTTTGATGAGTCTTGGATGCATACATTTGCTTCTTACGTAATCGATTCAAATCACTTTATAGCCAGTCCAATGTTGGTGTTGTGTCCGAAGATTCAACCATGGATGATACTAACTAACACACTGCTTGTTGACTGCTGTGTCATCATACTGAGAGTTTTCATTTTTTTTCGATGCATCAAAGATGGAACCTCTGTCCTACATGAGGATGGACTTTGAAGAATTTTGCGCTGCTTCGATAAGTGTGTATCAGCTGGAGGCACTGGAGAACTGGGAGGAGATTGCGAGCGTGGCATTTCAGCACTTTGAGGTGGAAGGAAATCATGTTATCTCAGTGGAGGAATTGGCGCGGGTATATGCAGCTGTTCACCTATTATCTTGTTCTTGCAAGACCCCATTTTTATTTAGAGTTCATTCTTACACACACTCTCTTAAAAACTCCGATCTGCAGGAGTTGAATTTGGGACCAACTGCTTTCTCTCTACTCAAGGATTGGATCAGACCATCTGACGGGAAATTGAACTTTCTGGGCTTCACCAAGTTCTTACATGGCGTAACTATCCGCAGTTCAAACACAAGACACCGGCACTGAGGACCGGAGATTGCTAGCTAGCCGGTGACATTGTTGCTTTTCCGGAGTCGCTACAGTTTGTTTCGAACTCTTTTTCGTTGGGCGAAAACGTAGAAAATTCTTGGACTTCTTACTATAATTTCTTTGAATTGTTGTGAAGAAAGGATTTGTTGGTATTCAAGCAAATGCAATAGTATTTTGGGGGTGTGGAGTGGAGAATGTGATCTGGGGTTTGTGATGGATGGATTTTTCTTGGATGGGAAGAGGTGGGAACAAAATGATATATATTTTTATATATATAATAGATATATAGATAGAGAAGGAGATACTGTTAAAAGAATGGATGCAGGAGGAGGAAGAGCAGGATGAGACTTCTTATTGATTGATTGATTGATATGATATTATGAATTGATGATCCAAGTTTGTCTGATTGTGTAATTTGGTTCTTGATTATTTTCCAGGTGTGTTTTTGAATGCATGTTTTACATACTGATTTTCCTGTTCTAAATTTTTTTTTTTTTTAAATATTGAATCAAATGCTCATTTTCTTATTTATTTATTTTATTATACTAAAATATAATTTTGTATTCAGTATATTATATCAATTCAAACGTACACGTAGATATAGATATACATATGCTACAGTAGCAGCTTCGTTGCTTTGATTGTAAGCACGCATCATCTTCTACAACTACAACAACAATCATATATATATCATCATAACCCTAAACCTTTGTATTTATTCTATTCTACAAACAGAGAGAGAGATTTGAATTCAGATGAACGATAGGCGAGCACAAGCTTACACTTGATGAATGAATTGATTGATTGGTTGATTGATTGATTGATTCAATGAGCCTTGAAGCAGTGCAGAATCTGGTGGTGGTGGTGGTGGTGGTCGGTTTGGTAATTGGCCTGGTCGATCATAGCGGTGACATGAGAGAAGTCTCGGACATGGCAGGGAATAGGTATGGGACCAGTTTGGTTGTGGTGGAAGCCGTACTCCTCCGCCGCCGCCTCGAGCAATGGTCTGAAGAGCGGGTGGTTGACGTAGGCCACCGGAATCACGAAGCGCTGCTGCTCCTCCCCGACGGCGACGGCTACGCATCCCTTGGGGGTATCCGTATCCCTCGTCGTCCATCCGCAGCGGTGGTGGTGGAAATGAATGTGCGGCATGTGTAGATGCGGCAGCGGCAGCATCATATTAATTAATTAATTATATTGGGAGTTAGTAGGAGACCGAAGAAGAAGAAGAAGAAGAAGAAGAGATACAGGAGAATCGAAATTGGAATAGGTATTGGTACGTTAGCTATTGTGATTGGTGGTGGTGGTGATGATATATCAATTTGGGATAGGTGAAGGTTAAAGACCAGGAACGCAGGCTGCGGAGAAGAAGAAGACGACGATAACGAAGCATCTTATTAAAGGGTTTATTCTCTCTCTCTCTCTAGGAAACGTATGTATGAATGAATTAATGAATGTGTCAATATATATATATAGAGAGAGAGAGAGAGAGGGAGAGAATGGTGAAGAAGAATATAAACGCGTGAAGGCAGCGTTGGCCTGCCTGTCTTCAATTGGCGTAGGCCATAAGCATTAAGCAAGCAGGCAGGTATTATTCTGTTATTCAGAATGGGTCGTCGGGTCGGGTCGGGTCGGGTCCACTTACTTTCGGAAGTCAGCTTCATCCACCGCCATTGAAGCGTTGAAATGGTGAATTGGGGATTAATTATTATTATTATTATTATTATTAATTTATTAGTAATGAATCAATCAAACAAGCAATCATCTTAACTAACTGAGTGCATCCAGCCAGCCTGCAACTGCAGGGAATATCTTCTTCTTCTTTCTAAATTCTTATTCCATTTCATTATTATTATTATTAGTAGCTAATTACGTGTCCCATGCCAACAGGGCCGGGCCGGGTTGCATCCAGCCCACAATTTACGTGTCCTATGCCAGCAGGGCCGGGCCTGGTTGCATCCAGCCCACAAGGCCACAACTCTGGCTCTCTGTTTACGTGTTCCGTGCCAGCAGGGCCAGGCCTGGTTGCATCCACCCCACAACCCTTGCTCTCGAATTGCAATATTATTATACTCCCTTAAATTGTAATTAGTATTAAAATATTATTTCCTCCGTTTCATATTTATTTTTTTGTATAAAATTTTAAAAATATTAATATTATATTAACATGTGGTATAAATAAAGTAAAAAAAAAAGATTAAAATAATTTTATTATAATGATGTGATATAAAAGTAAACACATTTGCGTAATATATTATAAATTGAAAGGGTATTTATAATGTCAAGTAAAAAGTACAATTATTAAAAAAGAAATGAATACTTTGTTACGAGACGAACTAAAATAAAAAATGGATAGATTGACAAATGACGAAGAAAATATTATATTTGTATAATTTTTTACATAAATATCATTATAATAATATCATAATACATATTTTTGTCATTTTTCTTAATTTACACTATATTTTCATATAATAATTAATATTAAAAAATCATTGCAAATATAACCTCTAGAGCCTAACAAAGATAGTAATATATTTACTATTACACTAAATGAACCATATATAATAGACAAAATTCAATGATGTCTGAAAGTTTGAACCCTTAATATCGGAAGTCCGCCCCACAAAACTGAACACCATAGAGCAGTCGCTACTCAATTATGCAAACTTGGCAAGCCATATAACGATTTAAAACTATATATGTCACCGTTTTGCAAATCTATAGTTTTGCTTTAATAGTATATTTTTATTCATTTGATATTATTCATTTTTTTTAAAAATATCATATAATTCTTTTATAAAATATCAAATCAAATACTAAATTTTTATTTTTTTTTAAAATTACAAAAACCTCCAAAAATATCTACCTATACAAACCCTACATTGGCCATTTCTATAACCTGTACGCTGCGTGTCCATATTAAAAGTATACCGTATTTTATTTTAGCAGCTATGGAACTCACCCTACCCCACTTGTACATGGACGTCGACGTCGGCATCGCCATTCACGCCACCTCATCAAATCCAAATGTCCCACGTAGACCACAACACATCCGAAGAAGCAGACAGACAGGCAGAGAAAGAGAGAACCACCCCCACCGGTCCGGCTGACGGCTGTGCCTCTCCTCTTCTATTCTCCCTACACCTGTCTGTCCAACCCGATACCAACTACAGTACTACACTTTATTCTTCCTTCCTTGATTACCTACCCTACCCCACCTTCCATGGCCGTCTCCTTCCGCTCCCTATCCCCTCCCTTAAATTTCTCTTCCCCCTCCTTCCCTCCCCGATCGCTGTTCCTGCCTTTGACCACCGCTTCTCCACCACACTCCGCCCTTCCTCGCCGCTATTCTAGTTCTACCACACGCCTTAATTACGGAACAAAAACAACGAAGGCATCCATGGCTGAGATCATAACTCCCAAGAGCAGAGGTAAGGTCCTCGTCTTCGACTCCGACGAAGATCTCGCTACATCTCTCGCCAAATACACCACCGATCTCGCCACCAATCTCTCTCAACAAAAGGACTCCTTCACTGTCGCTCTTTCTGGTGGCTCGCTTGTTAAATCTCTCAGGTAATTATGTAACTGAAGCTTCTGCTTATTCACCTTTGTCTTCTCTACGATTCACTTATGGCTGATTCCTGAACCAGTAACTTTGTTTGTTTCTGTATATATATATATATATATATATTGGAATTGAAGGAAATTAGTGGAGCAACCATACATTGATTTGGTGGATTGGTCGAAATGGCATGTGTTTTGGGTGGATGAGAGAGTGGTGCCGAAGGATCATCCTGATAGCAATTATCTCCTGGCTTACAATGACTTTCTGTCCAAGGTATGTTCATCTTCGTATTGTTCTTTGTATAAACTCTGTCCGCCATTAGTCCAAATGGATCAGTAACACTAATCCCAATATGCCATGACCTGATTTTGTCGACAAGTTTTCTAGCTATTCAAATGGTGGTCAGGTAGAAATGATTATGTATGTAGGAGGTGTTCTTGATGTTTGCAAGGGTAATTTAATTTCACAGAATACTTGACATTGGGAATGTGGTTCAACACTATTTTGTCGCTAGTCTTTATAGTCGCTGCGTTTGCGTTTGGATTTGAGAGTTTTGTCTTCGTATTTGTCTGCGATTGGTATGGCATGTTTCAACAGAGCCATGTGTCCGACTACATTGATAGTCTTGTCGCTTCTGACTTTGTTTAGAGCCTCGTTATTTATGACTTTGTGGAGGTTATTCCTGTCGTTTCCGGCTCGTCTTGTCATTTCCAACTCCGTTGTGAGTCTATTATTTCCAATTCTAGTTCAGTTGAAAGCATTGCAACAGCAGACAAACAACTGTTATTTTTATTTGCGTTTGTATTCAATTTTCTTATCAAACTCAAGTCGTTTTATCCATTTCCAACTCCGTTGTGAGTCTATTATTTCCAATTCTAGTTCAGTTGAAAGCATTGCAACAGCAGACAAACAACTGTTATTTTTATTTGCGTTTGTATTCAATTTTCTTATCAAACTCAAGTCGTTTTATCCACTGTAATATATTCATCTTTGCCCTTTTTTCTTGTTCCATATGTAATCATACATATTTGTTTCGATTTTGCAGGTCCCAATTCCCTCCGGTCACGTGTATTCCATGAATGATGCCTTGTCGGCAGAGGGTGCAGCCGATGATTACGAAACATGTCTGCGGCATCTGGTGAAAACTAAAACAATCGATCAATCTGAGAGCGGTGGATTTCCGAAATTTGATCTCATGCTGATGGGCATCGGCCCTGATGGCCACATTGCATCGTTGTTTCCCGGACACCATCTTCTTCAAGAAAGTCAGAAGTGGATTACTTCTATTAAGGATTCTCCCAAGCCTCCGCCGGAAAGGATTTCCTTCACCCTTCCTGTCATTAATGCCTCAGCAAACGTTGCCCTCGTCGTCACAGGTTCAGGTAAAGCCAGTGCTGTCCATACGGCCCTGAGCGATGTGTCGAATTCTGAGGTACTTCCAGTGCAATTAGTCTCCCCAGAAGGGGAGTTGACATGGTTTTTGGACAAGGAGGCAGCATCAAAGCTGTAGAGAGGGTTCTTGGCTGTCTGAAATTCGCGAAGAAGAAGAGATCAATTTCAATCATATCCAGAAGCGTCTTCTTCTTCTTGTTGTCGACTAGTCTGTCCAATAATGGATAATTTGCATCACTTGTGCTTTGTTTCCTTACAGACATGACTTAAGGTTGCTCCATGGCTATCATTTTGAGTGCTTCCCCTGTATATTGATTGTATTTGACAAACCACCTCTCTTGCTTAATTCATTTGGCTTGGCAAGGATAGCTTTTTCAAAATGCAGATCACAAATCACATTTCTGGAGATTGGGTTCTTACAGATAGATCAAAGCACCATAAAATCCATAAAAAGTAGTGGTCAAGTGAAGCACACCAAGCATTGACAGAGACAATCCTCAAGCTAGAATTTCCGAGAGTGTCGTGACTAGTTGCGTAAAAGGGACAAATTTGTTCATCATCTCTTTCAATATTGTAGTAGCTTAGAATAACAAGCACAATGAATCTTGGCAGATCGATACCTAGAGGCCCTCATTTCATTTCTCTTTGGTGTAGTGCCTAACTGCGAATGCCAATCCCAATATCATGAGAGGCACCAAGAACTGCAGAATCTTGATAATAAACTCGGGGGTCTTGTCTTGATTGTACTGAGCTTGTTGTGGAGGAACATACGCGCGTTTGAGAGGGACCGTTGCCATGTCTATCTCCCCGATGTAATATTTGTCCATCATCTCCCTAGCAGTGTCACTGTGTCCCACATCTTCGAAATCATTTGTTGCATCTTTCCCTACAGAATGGAAGAGGATCAATCGTATTCGTGAGGGCAATACGGGTTGTAATCATCAATAGATGTCTTTTATATTTGTTCCTTTCAACTACAAATAATATGGTACACTACAGACTTACCAGTTGCAGACAGCAACACTTCATCACCTCCAGGATGATCATCCATGAATGGGGTCACATCATAAACCTGGATGGAAGATAATGTCACCCAAATGTTGTTGAAAAGAAAACATATCACGATGAAACCAATTGCTATTGCAATGGAATTAAGACTACTTCCCTTACCAAATGCCAACCATTTCTGTTCATTAAGAAAAATAAAGAAATGAATAAAAGTTCCGATTTTTCAAACCTGAAACAGTGTTCTATGGTTCAGAAATTGGCAGTAGCCAGTGTATATTATTTCTCTAATATTACAGCATTACTAATGCAGACAGAACTAGCTGTAACTCTTCCTTCCTTTAAATACTCGCTCGACTAAAGAATTGCCCCGTGTTAGTTTGCGGGGTTTGGGTTTTGAATAGTGAAAATTATGCATGCTGCCAAGGTATGGTCTCCTTCTTGGTGGAACCAATTAAGCTTATGCTGACTTACAGTAAAGAAAGTTTTTAATCTGAATTGGTTGGATGTTTTCTCTGTGCTTTTTTCCTTATATTGGTTGAAGATACCTCATCGGCAAGAACTGGTGTTTTTAAGATAGTTTTAAATACTCACTGTAGGTATTAAGCTATTTGTGTATAATCTTATATATACATACATGAATCTCATATCTACGAGAATGGTACTTAGATATCAAATAATCTTCCACCCTCTACTGTTACAATTTACAAACCAAACGATTGGATCAGAAGACTAAGAAGAATGCAGTATCAGAAAATTGAAATGGTAGCTCCAGTAGACGAACATAATTAGGGCAATCAACAAATTATAGATTCAACAATATAAAATGATAGCAAATAACACAAGGAAATGATGAGAGAAAATTATATAACAAGAAACGATGAGCTACCAATGGAATAGCAGAAAATTAATTCACTTAAAATTGTATAGTAAGTTGTCTCATCAATATTTGAACAGCTCCAAATTCAATTGGTGGAACCAAACTCTCACATATTTCTCGAAGGTTTCAATAACAAGTGATTCCATCTCAAAAGAATCTGATCCAGGCATACAAGAATTAAATCCAAAGCTAAACGCACAAATCCAGTTACCTTTTGAAAAGAAAAAGTAAAAAGGAAAGAGATGGAAAAACCTTTCCACTGATAATAAGCCAACAATCCTTAGTCTTGTTGTGCTTTCCGACTTCCTCAAATGTGAGAACTTTCGGATCTGACGCCATTTACGAATTCCTCAAGACTGGAATACAAAAAATAAACCGAACATTACAATCCCCACAAAAATAATAATAATAAGAAGCTACATAATAATAAGAGAGAGAGATTTACAGACATAGGATCAATTGAAGCAGCAAAGTCCGCTGAGGAGAGGCAGCGGATTACGAGAGGAGAGAAAGAGAAAATCTAAAGATGATCTCAATCTGCAACAGCTAGGTCGGTCGGCCAGTTCTCCCTACAAATACTCCATTGAAGGAGATGAAGTAATCTAGGGGAAAAAACAAATAAATAATTAAATAATATGGAGGTTGAATTGACAGTATTAGCCCCGAACGCATAATTAATTTACACCCCTACTGCCCCCACGGCCACACCGTTCCAAATTATTACTATATTATTGGCCGAAATGGGACAAAATCTACCAATATTTGATGAAATTGTCTTGAATTCCTTATATTTTTGTGGCCATTTTCTAAACTTTTAAAATTATAAATATATTTATTTTTTATATTTAATTTTAAAAAATAGTAAATATAATAAAAAATAATTAATTTTTTTGAATTTTAAGGATTTATATTTACTATTTTTTAGTTAAATATAAAAAAAAAAATTATTTATAATTATACCGTTTAGAAATTGAAATTTTACAATTTATTAGTAATTTGGGCGCATTTAGGTCAAATAATATTAAATAAAAATCATCGAAAAAGTTAGACGTATAATTTATGAAATTACGGAAAATTTAATGCAGTTTTATAAGTATTGGAAATTTTGCGCAATTTCGTAAAACACGTGTAGATATTGTACAATTTAATCTTATTATTATTATCATCATTATGATAGATGAGAATGAAATGAAGCTGTGCATGAGCCAAAAGTGTACTAGACGAATAACGGATGAATTCTATCGTTATTAAAGTATGTGTGCAATTGATCAAATGCAAGTAAGTGCAGTGTAGGTAGACTTCACCAACACTAACACTAGATTAGTATAATCTCTATACATCCATCAATGTTGGTCAATTAACATTTTGACATTTATGGATTCGGTTCGATTCGAATTATTCGGCTTTCAGCTGACGAAACCTTTGTCGTGTCCCTTCGTGGGCAAGAAGTTCATGCACATCGGGGGGTCGATCTTCGCAAGAGCAAGAATCGACGACGGGAGAATCCACAGCCCATCCCCACATATCAAACCCGACGCCACTGCCGGAATCATCAGCCCCGCCTTCCTCCGACTACCTAATTTATGCCAAACATACACTGCCAAGCTCCCGACGCACATATCAACGGCAAAGTAACCCCCCACCAGAAACGGCACCGCCATCGCCATCGGCAGCGGCACCCATTTCCCCAACCTCTCCGGCATCACGTCCCTCGCCAGATTCGCCGCCACCGCAAACGCAAAAAACCCGTAGCACAGCTGCAAGCAATGGCGAGGCAATGCCGAGAAGCCCTCCACTCCGAGTATCGCCATGTTACGATATATCAACGCGTACGGAGCCTTGTAATCTCCATCCGGGTTCCCCACATCGAACGCCTCGTAGAAGAGAAAAAACGAGAACGGCGCAACGATACAGCCAATCGCAGTCCCGATTGCTTGGCTTACGAGCATCGATCTTGGCGAGGTTAAGGTGAGATGACCCGTCTTGAAATCATGCATCAAGTCGGAGGAGATGGAAACGATTGACTTTATGAGACCGCATCCAATTAATCCGGCGACTACGCCGTCGTGTTTCCCTGCCAATGCCGCGAGCACAAAGAGCGCAACTTTCCCGTAATTGTATGCCATGTTCATATCGGTGAGGCCAGCGCCATACGCATTGCAGAAACTCAGAGACGGAGCAAGAACGTAGGCGACAAGAACGTAATACCATTTGAGCTGGGGAAACATGATCGGGATAATAACCACTGAAACACCCGAGAAAATCAAGTAGCCTACACATGCTATCCAGACAGGAATGCTCTCTCTGATGAACACTTCATTTCGTCGAATATCATCTAAAGTTTCTCCCTTGTCATCTGAATCGCAACAACAACGAATCATATATATGTAATGTCACTCCTAACTCGATTCAATTACTCGATTTTCACCTGTTTTAAGATCCCTCTTGTTTATTGCAGCAGCGTACACGCTTCTGACCGTGAAAAACAACGTCTTGAGGAAGTTGTAGAGGCCATCGCCTAGAATAAGAGCGATAGAAATGAAAACCTGCGAACGAAGCATTAGTACCATAGCAACATTACCGAATTTATTGCAATAAAGAGTAGATATATGATATATCAGTGTTAGAAACCTTGTATCCATTTAAGCTTTTCATACTGCTCTCTTTGATGTCTGAAGGGAACCAATCCCCTTTCCTTTCACTAATCAATGGCCACATTACGCCCCACGAAAGCACGGCCCCGAGAAGAAGAGATAAGTTCACTAAGTGGGAACAAATCATTCCTGCTCCGACATAAGTCATGCTGAAATCGAAGTAGAATCTGTAGAACACATGTTATTACACGTCCGGATTAGTTTGATCGATTCATATACATAGTAAACACACAAACAACGCACGTTTGTCTCCACGCCTCGAGTCCAAAGGTCGGGAAATTGATGAACCCACACTGTTCTCCACCTGAGTAGAACCATTGGAAGAAACTCCAAAAGAAACTTAGGGAGAAGAACTTCATGAATCCTTTGACCTGTTCCCTGCAGATTAGAAGCAGCAAATCTTCTTTAGCATAAAGAAACTGAAATAACTTATAAACATTCGATGAAGAACCAAATGCTCACTTTGCCATTTTGTCCCCTTTACTTGTGTGGAATCCATTGATGAGTACAGCAGTTGCAGTTCCACTTGGATATGGCAATTTGTAATCGATAATCATTATCTGAAACATTGTATAACTAATCAAGAACTGCAACAAAATCATGTAATCAGGCAATAGATTCACTTTTTTTTTTTACCTTTCTAAGAGGAACCAAAGCTAATAATCCAACAAAACTAACAACAAAAAGAAACCCAATCATCCAGTCAAGCCCAGGTTCTTTGTAACTAGCTGGTGAATTCCCTTCTGTATCAACCCCAGCCTGCTCATATGTCCTCTTGTTCAAACCCAAAAGGTACGAACCAAATCCACCTGGAAGTGAATCAACAACAAAATCAAGAATAAGATCTTAACTATAATAATGATCATCTTTGAGTTTTTGAAGTGTTCTGTTCTGTTCTATCCTGACCTCCCACAGCTATGCTGTAGCAAGCAACGGCGCAAGTCTGGATAATGGTGTTCTCCTGCCTGGTGAATGGAGCAGTCATGAAATTGGCCTTATGGAGGAGTTTGGTCCATGTCCTGATGAACACGAAGGCGAGAAGAGCAGCAGAGACGTTGAGGTTGGGGACAAGTCCAGTTGTGAGGTTCAGCTTCATCACTATGATGCTGTATATGATTCCAATCAATAAACTTGCAAGAATTCCTCTAACAGTTATCTGCTCTCTCCATGGAGGAATTCTCTTCAGATCTTCCTCATCCTGCCTCCCTGTTTCCTCCACATCTCCATTCTCGTCAATTTCTATGTTGTCTCGTCTTTCGCTGGTTCCCATATGCAGCAAGCAACCGCGCAATCGATCAATCTGTTCAGTTAAATAGGAGAATGACTGAATGAAAGAGCAAAATTACAGTGTGATTTTCTACAGTGAAAACTTCGAATTTCCTAATTGTGCAGAGCTGATAATCTCTCCCCTTGAATCGGATAGAACTTGTGTGTTATCCACAACCAAAACACGCCATGAGGCTAGTAGGAGAGGAGTGACGCCATGCTCAAATTTGAACAGAGAGATGAATAGGAAGAAATAGATTGAGAAACTGTTGCGTTGACGATGATGATGATGGTGTTGTGGTGTGTACTACCCCCTCCCCTCCCCTCCCCACCTACAGCCCCAAGTGTAGTACAAAAGTCGGATAGCACTGACTTTTTCGTAGTACTACAGAATTGGTTGGGTTGGGTGCTTTCAGTTACGATGGACATGAATTCATTCTCAAACGGCTCTCTTTCTTTCTTTCTTTCTGATCGTCGTCGTCGTCTTCGCAGGGCTCTTTCTAATCATCAAAGTCGAAACATCTTTTGTGCGACTGTGAGAGAATGAATTCTCACGAATTTCAAGAATCTGGTTGGGAAAACATAGATGCTTTCTTTATGATCGCTGTCAGTAGAGAGAGAGGAGTGTATGGGTAGTGGAGATGATGATCAGCTCCAGATTCAGATTCAGATTAAAAGAGGAAAAAGACAAAAGGATATGATGGGAGTGCGTATTTGTTTGTGCTTTAATTAGCCATAGCCATAGCGAGAGCTAATCCGCCATAGCCATAGCCAGAGTTAATTTATTCTCAATGGTTATTGGCCTATAGCTATGGCTATGGTGGCGTGTGGCTGCAACATTCTCATCTCATCCATATTCGAAATTGGAATCAATCATATCATGCGCGTACAATTAGGCTGTATTGCTTGATCCCATCTGAGTATTCACTCTATGTTTTTATTTTTGTTGATAACAGAATTAATATTATTAAAAATATTTCACATTGATTCAAAGTACAAAATAAAAAAAATCCAAGAAATTTGTCATCTATAATTTATTTTAAAATTTTATAAATTATATTTAATAATTATAAACTATGTAGTATAATCAAAACTCTATTGGTGTGTTTCTTTTGTTAAAATAATTTGAAGATAAATATATATTTTTATGTGAAGTGTGTGAGACATAGAAAATCTGCAGATAATATAAAAATAATAAAACTGTAATATATTAATATTTTTAAAAAATATGTGAAAAAAAATAAATAAGAACAAATATATTTTTTAAAATTTGATATTTTAATTATCGTTTTTTAATTTTTAGTTGGGTATAATATATAACCTAATTATTTTTATATTATTATTATTATTAACAAAGACAATAATTTTAATTAAAAGTTTATTGTTTGTTTAATTTTAAAAGTCGCTTTTACTTTTGAATAAAAACTAATAGTGCAAAGAGATATACAATACTCTCTCCGTTCATTAAAATTAGTTCATTTGGATTCGGCACATAAATTTAAAAAAATGAATATTTTATTAAAAAAATGATAGGTTGTCGATGATATTTTTGAAAATTTAGTTAAAAAGTAAAGTAAATGAAGATAGAGAATGTAATAAAGTTAGTGATATTTGTTGTAAATAACTGTTCAACGGAGGGTAATAATTAAATGTTGATTTGTTGAATTTTGCCAAATTTAGTAATGAGATAAATTTAGTAGACGGACTAAAAAGAAAAGTAAGAATAAATTTGTGGGACGGAGGTATTATTTTTTTTGAGTTTTGACCTCGGGTAAAAATCTATTCATACGAAACCATAGTATTTATCAATAAGCTAGCGTGATAATGAATTGAGGAGATGCCTATTCTAAATAATAATAATAATAATAATAATTCACAACTTGTTCATGTTCCACGGCCGTTGGACTCACGCATCTCGTCACACATTTTCTAAACAAATAATAATAATAATAATAATTAGTGATAGAGCTGGGCAATGCAAATGGCAGGGTATATATGCAATGCTTATACTTATGCCATGGTTGAGTTCGTATAGCCACTTTAGCCACTGAGTGATTCAATTTTTGTGGATCTCTTTTTAGTCGACTTTATCATCGTCTTGGAACTGAATTTTGATTCCCTTAGGTCACAAATTCTTTTCGAATGTGTTGTGCCCTAAAATCAACGAATGTTTCATCAGTATTTCAAAGAGTATGTATGCCGTCGCGTAGGTCCTTTGTTTTGGATGGCTTCGAACAGTTCGACATCTTGATGATATTGAGCTATAACGACTGAATCTAAAAGATTTCAGATAAAATATACTGAAATTTATCAAAATTAAAATTAAAATAAATTTGTTTTGAAATGATATGAGTTCTTCAGACTGGATCATCGGTTCCATTAACACATCATATCCCCTATCCCCACATATATAATTGAATATATACAACTATGTGTGTGGAGATAGAGGAATATGGTTTATTTTTTTGGACAAGAGATCTCATGGGGAGTTCATTGTGTGTTTTTAGCTATTTATATCCATGAAATAAAAAGCGTGCCTCTACTTCTTGAAATTTAAGAGTTAATTATTGTAACTTTCTTTCATGTCTTCATATAATTCTAATCGTAGCCTCTGGTAATTTATCCAATGTCTTGCGCTCGTTGACTATCTTTGACCTAGTGCCAGACTCCTTCTTGGGACAAGAGGATCATAGAGGTATAAGGCCTAACTTGTCGGGAGACTTTTATGCTTATGAGGCCTTGATTGCTTTTGAAGTTCTCTGAACTTGCGTATGTCACGTTGTTTCATGTTCTGGTCCTAATTGCATAGGTCTTGGGTCTAAATTCAATAAAAGATCTCTACTCTTTGAAGATTCTGATTAAGTGTAAAATCCTCGGTTCTGCCGATCTCAATTCTTCTTATTCTATTCTTATTCTATCATGTTTGGGACATTGGGTTTTGGGTCTAGATCCAACAAATGGTCTATGCTCTTTGAAGATTCTGGTTGAGATTAGAGTTCTTCGGTTTTGTTCATCTCAATTTCTTTTATTCTATCATATTTCGGGAGAGGCCTTTTGATCATGTCATTTTTATTTTTCATTCTATTCCACACAGCAGAGCCTTGCCTTAGGGACTTTAGGCCTAGATCCGACACATCCAAAACTTTTCAACTCAGTCTAAAATAAATTATTATTGGACTAAAATTGTCATGTATATAGGGTGTGTTTGTTTGGGGGTTTGGATTTTGAGTTGGAATTTGAATAGTAAAAATTTTGAATTTGAATAGTTGTATGATGTGATATAAATAGACGTTGATGTGATATTTTGAATGTAAAATTGATTTTTTTAGTATAATATAAAAAATAAAAAATAGATGTTTGATTTGATGTTTTTTGAAAAAAAAAAAAAAGAATAAATAGTAAAAATTTAATCCAATCCCCCGAACAAAGACACCCATTTAAAAACAAATAAATAGCTTTGTAAGAACCCACAAATGCACTACTTATTTATTCTAAGAAATATTTAAAAATATTTTAAACTTATTATTATTATTATTTATCAAATAATATTATAATTCAATTTACAACCAATCAGCATATTTTCAATAATAAATATTCCATCTGTTATATAAATGTGTGCTCATTTGATCAGATACGAGTTTTAATAAAAGTGAGTAATAATTGTTAAATTTTCTTTTTATAGTAAAAAATAATACAAAAATAAAATAATTTTTTATTTAAAAATAAAATGAGAATATTTTTCAATGACAACTCAATAAGAAAAGTAAGCATATATTTGAATTTGAATGACGGAAGAAGTAAAATTTTCATTTGCACTTTTAAACTTGCAACAAATGATAGAGAAAATAAATTAGTCTATAATTGATTCTTATATTATTAAATGTGTGTTCATTTGAAGGATTTATCCAAAATTTTATTATTCATCATTTTTTTTTTTAAATATCAAATTAAACATCTATTTTTTATTTTTTATATTATAAAAAAATTAATTTTGCGTTCAAAATATAACATCTATACCTATTTACCACGATTACAATTCAAAATTTTTACTATTAAAAGCCTAACTTAAAATCCAATCTCTCGAGCAAACACACATGTATAAATCAACCCTACCGCATTCTCCTACGAGCCAATAAAATTTTAATAATAATAATAAACATAATAATAATGCTGACAAGACATTATTATTGGGCTTTTAAATGGGCCCAACTTTAAAGTGAAGTCCATTAACAGCCCAACTGAGAGAGAGATGAAGACATGTCTGATGTGTCCTCTCGTCTCGTGTCTTCCAAGCTTCTCTGTTCTTTCTCTCCCCTCAAATTCCAATCCTCACTTACACCTCCAAACCCGTATCTCTCAACCAGAAATCTCCGACTGCACCAAAACGAAAATGAGAAGCGGATCAGGGGAGACGAAATTCGTACAGGAACTGATTCTCTACGCTGCCAGCGCTGCTCTCAGCTGTTTGGTACTCTTCGTCGGCCTCAAGCATCTCGACCCCAACCGCGACGCTGCTAAGAAAGCAATCGAGCACAAGAAGGAAATCGCCAAGCGTTTAGGCCGTCCTCTTGTTCAGACTAATCCTTATGAGGTCCTATTTCTATTCATTTCTCTTTCGTTTTTCGTATTATTGCTTGCGCTTGTGCTTTTCTCCGCCTCTTCATGTTTTACCTTGAAATTTTTTAACTTATTTTATTTTAAAACCGCATGTTACTCTGAATGGATGAGGCGAGGAGTTGATTTAAGTTTACTCGTCTGGTTCTACCGTGGTAATTTATAGTGAATTTAATGAAAATATGGCTTTCGAGTTCCGCCGTGATTTTTGCTGAATAGCACAATACTGGATTCAAAGATAGCTGATGCACTCTCTTGTAAATAAAAAATAATTCTCATGTTCGTAGTGTGTAAATGAAAATTGATGCTTGTGATGCACTATGTTGGAATTGATTTGATGTTTAGGGCAATATGCCTGTTTTAGTTTTACTGGTTAATATATTCGAGGTACATTTGATGTGGTTAAAGTTCATTTTTTTCGATTACAGGATATTGTGGCTTGTGATGTAGTCAATCCAGACCATATAGACGTGAAATTTGATTCCATTGGCGGATTGGATGCCATTAAACAATCATTATACGAGTTAGTTATTCTTCCATTGCAAAGACCTGAGTTGTTCTCTCATGGAAAGCTTCTTGGTCCGCAAAAAGGGGTGTTATTATATGGACCACCGGGCACTGGGAAGACGATGCTTGCCAAAGCAATTGCAAAAGAATCAGGAGCTGTTTTTATTAATGTGAGAATATCCAATTTGATGAGCAAATGGTTCGGTGATGCACAGAAGCTAGGTAAGTGCATTCATAGCTTTCTCAACGTGAAGTCCTTTGACCAATATGTTCTAGAGGTAGATCCACATTGACTGTTATAGTGATTAATGCTGCGTGATCCTTCGCGTGCTAGTTTTAAGCAGCAAAGATTATTATAATGGTATTTATATTCCACGATGGTAAAATCTATTTATTGATTTTGGATGTGGGGACAGTATCTGTTGTTTTGGCTTTTACTTGCTGCTCATGAAAAAGTCATTGCAACTTCTAGCCGTGGATAACTGAATTGTGATCGGTTCATGCAATTATCTATTACTTCATTACTGACATTGTATGAATGCATCCGAGAATTGAAATTTAACGAAAAATTGGAAGTATCTTAGAATATATTATTTTCAGAAAAAAAAAAAATGATAGATTGGATTGTTCTATGTTTCACACAATTCCATGTTGATTGTGTTTCTTGTCTCTTTCCTTCGTTCCATTTTGTTTAATGATGACTTTTGCTCCATATTTGCATGCAGTGGCTGCTGTATTCAGCTTGGCATACAAACTACAGCCAGCTATTATTTTTATTGATGAAGTAGATAGCTTTTTGGGCCAGCGGAAATCGACAGATCATGAAGCACTAACTAACATGAAAACTGAATTTATGGCATTGTGGGATGGTTTCACCACAGATCGTAAGTTTTATGTTAATATCTCTGGAATATATTTCTTTTCCCTTCTGGCACCTCACAAAGTTTGTTAATATGTTTTGCTATTTGATTTTTATTTGTTCAGATTTTATTTGTATGTCCTACTTGAAAGTCATTTTTGTTTAGGTCTTGACTTTCATGCAGTGTCAACATATATTGCTACTTGGTTTTAATATGTTTAGTTGGTTTTTTTTTAATGGTCTCATACTCTTACTTGAAAGTCATTTTTGTTACGACCTTGAAAAAGTTTGTTACTATATATTGCTACTTGAGTATATATGTTAAGATTTTGTTTGTATGTCCTATTTGATAGTTATTTTTGTTTAGACCTTGACTTTGCTTATGCAGTGTCAATATATATTGCTACTTGGTTTTAATATGTTTAAATTTTATTTGAATGTTCTATTAGAAAGTCCATTTTGTTAAAACCTTGACAAAGTTTGTTAATGAGTATTGCTACTTGAGTTTATTTGTACAGGTTTTATTTGTATGTCCTACTTGAAAGTCATTTTTTTATTAGACCTTGACTTTGCTCAGGTAGTGTCAATATATATTGCTACTTGGTTTTAATATGTTTATATTTTATTTGAGTGTCCTACTTGAAAGTCATCTTCATTAAGACCTTGACTTTGGTCATGCAGAACATGCTCGTGTAATGGTTCTTGCTGCCACTAATCGTCCATCAGAACTTGATGAAGCAATTCTCAGGCGTCTTCCTCAGGCATTTGAAATCGGGATTCCTGATCGTAGGGAGAGGGTTTCGATACTAAAAGTGATATTAAAGGATGAGAAGGTTGAAGATAACATTGACTATGATTACATAGCTACTCTATGTGAGGGGTATACTGGTTCTGATCTTCTTGAGATATGCAAAAAGGCTGCATATTTTCCAATCCGAGACTTACTTAATGACGAGAAAAGTGGAAAATCATCTCAGGTCATTATTTCCTTTCTCATTGATGCATTAATTTTGCAACAGTTTATTGCTTCTTATAATAATGTAGGAACTATATATTTGTATCGAAACTGGCTATAGTACTGGTTACACATTTCGTGTAATCTTTAGTACAATCTGTCTAAGTAGGCTCCACCTATTCTAATTCTAATCAGACAATTCTAATTCTAATTCTGACAAGATTCCAATTCTAACAATTGAATAACACAATCTAGGAGCTAGTTATTACACTTATTATAATCTGCTATTTTAATTTCAGGAGCCAAGGTCGTTATCCCAATCAGATTTGGAGAGAGTCATTGCCACAACAACCAAAACAAAGGTCGCTGCAAATGAGTACAGCAGATTAAGCTCACAAGGATTGGGATGGCCGAGACAGAGGGAACCAGACGATTATCAAGTCCAAGCTGCTATCAATGAGCTATCCAAGCTCGTTGTTTCCCAAATTCTGAATCTTCAATCAGACAATCAGGATTCTTAATATTCACAGGATGGATGGTATGGATCATAATTTTGTTGTAGGGTTGTTTCCATTGGCATTTGCATATATGAAATTAAGCAGAGCAAGTATTTATGGCCACTCCTTAATCATATGTTATTATGTTTGATCTTCTCTTCTAAGTACTATATGCTTATAGGGCCCATCATCATATTGTTGGTCTGCTGTCCATTGTCGTCGTCACTCTCTTGCATTCACTGATGACACGTCCCAATTTTGACGGCAGTGTCATTCATATGTTGATGACAAGTAAGTTGTTTTTATGCCTCGACGGCTTGCGTAAACTTATTTCGAGTTGAATGATGTCGGAAAGAAAGAAATAAGGTATATGTACATCACTCACCTATGTTAGGCAGATTACTAATGTAATTGTGTCGTGTATCTTCTGGAAATTCAGATTCTTAATTTTGCCTTATCTGTAGCACTCAATTGTGATTAGGTACACAAACTCAGGTAGTCTAATTTTGTATTGGATTCTAGTTTTAATGGAAAAACTTTAAAACATGTTCATACTTCATATGTTTACATATCTATATCTATTTAGCAAATAGGCACAATTGAATATTATTTTGAATATATTAATGTAATGTAAATATAATTGATAATACTCTAAGATAATTTAAACATATTTATACCTAAATGAACTGTAAGCGTATTGTTCAATTAACACAACGCAACGTTTGATTTCAATTAACATAACGTTGTTTTTTAATTGAAATTATATATTGTTTGTCATTTTATTTATATATTTAGTACTATTTTAATATGCAGATTAGTTTATATATATATATATATATATAGAGAGAGAGAGAGAGAGAGAGAGAGAGAGAGAGAGAGAGAGAGAGAGAGATTTTGGCAGCGGCGTCCATGGCGCATGTAACTAACATGCGTGGAGCGAGGGAGGAAACAGTCAATTTAGCTGCCATACAAGGATGGCGACAATATTTAATTAATTAAACAAGAAACACAAAAAGGTGTTTTTATGAAATAAATAGTTGGCGACGCCGACAGCATACACATATATATATGTATATATGATTTGTGTATTATATTGACGTTCATGTTTGTTTCTATAATTGATAATAGTTAAAAGGTGGTGAAAAGTGAGAATTTGTGGCAGAAAACAGAGAAGGTTTTATACTGACGTCAAGCAAGCTAGTTGAGTTAAATACAATAGTTATTTGACAATGGATTTTGGGACTTCAATTAAAAATAAATGGACAACACAAACCAGTGTTGAAGACTTGAGAGTAAGCCAAAAAATAAAATAAAAATAGAATAAAATAAAAATCCAACCCCATGATTGGTCATCCTTAAACAGCTATATATATATATATATATATATGCATAGGTACCAGAAAATTCATGCCTCTTTCTCTCACACCTGCATTAATTCTTGACTGCTTCTTACAATCTCTTCACATTTCCATTTTCAGCGTGTGACAAAGATGACCAACTGAATTCTTTATTTTCATCTATTCTATTCTTCCCCTTTGAATGTTCTTTCTATTCAGCCCTTCAAATTTGGAGACCTGACTGGTTTTTCTTCCCTCTCCTAATCAAACAAACAATCAATATATGTATTATAACTTACTATTTATCAATTAAAATTCCCAACCTAAATTGCAGCTGGAACAATCCTCTATCATTCATTCAGATTCCTATTCTAATTCCTATTCATATTCCACTTCCTCGCTTTAATCAATCATCATCATCATCATCTTCTTCTTCTTCTTCTTCTTCTGTTTCGCTTGTTTTGGCAGCAATTTCTGGACTCTAATCACCCACCAATTATGATGATGTTTGCCATCATCAATTTCATTGGTGTTCCCTTCTTCTCCATCATATTCTTGATCATAGCTCTGAAATTCTTGGCCAAAACAAGCTTATTCCATTGCCTCAAGAAGCTATGGCGTGCAGTCGAAGACAAATGCTATGTTCACCAGGTCTACAGGGTCCCCAAATTCAACCACAACATGCAGGAGAATCAGCTCTACCGAAAGGTTTTCTCCTACCTCAATTCCCTGCCGTCCCTCGAAGATTCTGATTTCGCCAATCTCTGCTCCGGCTCCAAGTCCACTGAAATCAATCTCACTTTGGATGAGAATCAGGCAATCACCGATAAATTCCTCGGCGCCGCCGTCAGCTGGAAAGTGGACGGCGGCGAAAAGTCGCTTGTTCTGAAGATCAGGAAGAACCAGAAACGGAGGATTTTGGTGCCTTACTTGCAGCATATCCATCAAACTTACGAGGAGTTGGAGCAGAAGAGGAAAGAGGTTAGGCTGTTCGTCAACGTGGAGAACCAAGTCGAGAAAAATGGAAGGTGGAGGTCGACGCCGTTCACGCATCCAGCAACGATGGAGACCGTCGTCATGGACGCCGATCTGAAATCGAAAATCAAATCCGATTTGGAGAATTTCTCCAAGTCGAGGCAGTACTACCACCGATTAGGTCGCGTATGGAAGAGAAGCTACTTGCTATACGGTCCCCCAGGCACCGGCAAATCAACCTTCATATCTGCCATGGCGAAGCTTCTCGGCTACGACATCTACGAAATCAACCTGCACAAAGTGCAGAGCGACGCCGACCTCAAGTACCTCCTCCTCCAAACCACAACCAAATCGGTGCTAGTAATCGAGGATCTAGACCGTTACCTGGACGCAAAATCCACAACAACGGCAGTGAGCACGTCAGGAATCCTCAACTTTATGGACGGAATCTTCTCCTGCTGCGGAGAAGAGCGGGTGATGGTATTCACCATGAACAGCAAAGAAAACGTGTGCGCGTCGGTGCTCCGGCCGGGGAGAATCGACGTCCACATCAACTTCCCACTCTGCGATTTCAGCGCCTTCAAAACCCTCGCCGGCAGCCATCTCGGCGTGAAGGAGCACAAACTGTTCCCCCAAGTGGAAGAAATGTTCCAAACCGGGGCGACCCTAAGCCCCGCCGAGATTTGCGAGATAATGATATCGAATCGGGCCTCCCCGACCCGCGCCTTGAAAACGGTAATCACCGCGATGCAGGGTAACCTCGCCTCCCGGGTGGGTCGGAGGCTGCTAAGTGGATCCGGGTCGGGTCGAGGCTCAGGCGATGAGGAGCCGCCGGAGGAACCGCACGCCGGCACCGGCAATGGAATTCATCCCATGAAAGAGATAAAGAATCTGTACGGACTGTTCAGGGCAAGGAGCGGGAGGAAGGCATCAATGGACAAATTCGACGTCGTCGTCGTCGACCCCAGCGAGAAAGAGAATAGTAGTAATCATAATAATAGTAATTCAGCCTCAAACCATTGATAGTTATGATTAAACTTGCCCAAACTGTTCAAATCATCCGTTACGATTTGTCAAAATATCAAATTAAAATAGAATTTGAATGACTTATGATTTAACGATTTTGATTACGATTTAGCCGGTTTATATATATATATATACTCGTTTTTAATTTTTTTTCTAAGAATTTAAATTTTTTTATTTAAAAATAATTAAATTTCATTTTAATTTTATTTAATATAGTAAATAATTAAATTATACAAATATTATAATAGATAATAAAATAATTTAAATTATATATAATAATATAATAAAAAATTATAAAATATAAAATATAAATAAAAAAATTATTAATAGTATTATTAGTTTTTAATATTATTAATAATTATTTATATGTATTAATATTATCATTATTATATTTTAAATTTTAATTATAAATATAATAATATTATTATAAAATACACACAATTTAACCCTAATGTTTAATTAGCATCACATCCACACTCCACCGACCCCGCAGGCCCGCAGCCACGCCTGAGCCCCACAAACAGGTTCTCCCTGTTCCTTCCTTCTTCCTCAGTTCCTCTCATTTTTTTTCCTTTTATCTTCCAACCCCGGTCCTGCTCCTCCTTTCCTCTTCTTCTTTTTCTGTGCGCTGCCTGCCCTGCCATGGTGGAAGATAAAAAAAAAAACAAAAAAAAAGAAAAGCTAAACCGACGGTTCGGTTTCGGTTTCGGTTTGTGTCCGGTTTCGGTTCGAACCGACGGTTCGAAACCTAATGGGCAAGTCTGTTGATGATAACGATCAAGATTCGATTCAATTACATTCTTCTTCTTCTTCGTGCAATACAAGACAAGAAGAGATCATTTGAACCGTACTATATATTACATTATATACAATATATTTTTATATAGTATTTGGCTACCTCTAAATTTATATTGCATCCACTTCAACATAATAAAAGATAAATTTTTTGTCCATTTTCCATTTTTTTTTAAATTTTTTTTAATTTTTATATTTTTCATATATATATACATATATATATATATATATTTCTTTATTCGAGAGTTAAATTATTTATTTAGATGCTGGAAAATAGGTCGCACCGCAATATTCATTTGATCGTGGCGATCCTTTCAGCGAAGGTAATCGCATTTTCCGTCGCCATCGCCGTCACCGGCACCGATCAATGCTCCCTCTCTTTCCTCCTCTTGAAAACAATACTATTAATTAAAAAACCCCCTGAGTTGAACACTGTACTGATATTTTTACTGCTGTTTTTACTGATTTTTATACTACGGGGTTATTTTTATTAGAGTTTTGAATTTGCGCCGAGAAGTATATTATATTGTGATTGGGGATACTGGTTTTTTTTTTGGTTCCGATTAGGTCTTTGTTATTAGTTTGGTTTGTTGGGGATTGTAACCGAGATTTGTTGCAGGTGATTACATAGCAATTTCGGACGGAATTAGGGTGAAGGGATGGTAGATTTTTCTATTTGTTTCCTCTTGTTCCCTGTCTCTGTTTTAATCGTCATGTTTTAGTCAGAGTGGAATTCATTGTCACTTCTTCTTGCAGAATTATTTACTTGGAGCTTTTAAGCCGGCATGCAACATTTCAATTGCATTCTCGGATGGGAAAACTCGAAAGCAGGTTTGTCTGTCTTCCCCTTTTATAATTGTTAGAACTTTCAAATACATGTTTGGTAGGACTCCAGACATTGTATTAATCGAACATTACAAGCGTAGTCTTATCAGGTTAGGAAGAGAATTCTGTGACTGTATGTACGTCTTTTCATTGGTCATAGTAGTACTAATTATTTGCAACTAGGCTTGAATTCTATGGATGTCTTTTCTTGGTTCTTAATAGCATGTACAATGTAGGGAATTGTGTTACTAAATTATGAACTATTATTTTAATTTATTTAGTTTCGTGGGTTGGTTATGTGATTTCTGTGGCTTAATGATCCCTTACCGGAAAGACAAGTATATTATAGCTCACATTGATGTTACTGAGGCTTACTCATGTAAAAATGTGGATTTAGGTGCAACTGAAAAAGGAGAATGGTCAAACAGTAATGGTTCCGTTGTTCCACAGCCAGGAAACGATTTCTGGGATGGTATTTTCTTTTCTTGTTGATTCGGCCTTTATGTAAATTTAGTGTTTTGGATTTTACTAATTTATCATAGCGATACCATGTATCATGTCTTTAGATTTCTGTCGAACCAATTCCTGGGAAGAAGGTTGACCACAATGGGATTAAAGTTGAGCTTCTTGGTCAGATAGGTGTGTTTCTCCGATATTATTTAGAATTATCTGTTAAATTATCCTTCACGTCATCAGATTTTTAGTCATGTCATCCTCCCATAGCTATTTGTCTTTACTGTCAGACAACTGTCAGTTTTGTAGGCACCCCATCTGAGGTTAATGAATTTTGTATTTCATTTTCATAACTGTTTAATATAATCGTTTGCTGTGCATTGGGTAAAAAAGTTACAGCTCCCATATCTAATTGCACCATTTTTGCAGAAATGTACTTCGACAGGGGCAACTTCTATGACTTCACTTCTCTTGGTAAAGATAAATAAACTGCTTTTGTATTTTATACATAATCTACTTCCCAGGTGCTATGATTTCTGCATTTTTGGATAAATGTGGATTGTCCACTTTTGCGCAGATTCAGAAATCTTCATTTAAATCATCTTTCATGTTGTTATATTCCATAAGCCCTGCTTTCATCCTAATGATATTTTACAACTTATGTTACTGTGGCAGTTCGTGAACTGGATGTTCCTGGGGAATTATATGAAAGAAAAACATTTCCATTTGAATTTTCAACTGTTGAGATGCCTCATGAGACATACAATGGGGTAAATGTGCGTCTTAGGTGAGTTATTTGTTCTGTGTCTTTAAACAGCAGGTTTCTCTTGCTTTTATTTGTCTACTTCAGAATGCAAAACATATTTCACATTTCGTTTCTTTTTCAAGAAAGTTGAAAAATGAATAAGGGTGCGAGTTTTACTGTGGGAATTTTAGGCAAAACCTCCAACGACTGGAATACTCGTTTCTGAAACTATTTTATTTGTTTTTTGTGCTGATGGTCATGTATCATCATTCATCGCTGCACATATTCTCATTTTAACTGGTAAAGGAATTGCCACCATATAGGGTTCAGATTGTGTGGTTTCGTTCTCATCTTAGCTTATTTTGATTAAGGAAGGACAATCAAATAGCTTTCATGTAAGGGCTATGTATCATATAAAGAGCAGTGGAAAGGCATTCACTTTTGAAAGCTCATATATTGTCGCCGTTGCAGCAAATGGGCTTAAATTAGTGGACAAATACAGGACGATTTAGTCATGATGTCCGCATTTGCTACAGATCCTTGGTCTTGTGTTTTTGTATCTCAACTAATAAGGAATCTGATGTTAATTTAACTCTCTCTCTCTCTCTCGTAGTAATTGGAAGTTTTATGTTTGTTTCAGATATGTCCTAAGGGTGACAATAAGTCGGGGATATGCTGGTAGCATAGTGCAATTTCAGGACATTGTGGTAAAGATCATCTTTTAGTCTCCAAATGCTTGCTATATTTATCAAATGCCTCCCAAATTGGAGTGCATGTATTATGTCAGCGTTGATTTTTTTGCCTCATTTACCTAAATCATTAATTGTAGATGGGTTCAGTGGGCGACAATGATTTATATCTTATCTTATTTCGTTTACAAAGTGTGACATCATTAATCATTCATCGTCATCATGTTCTCTGACTTACTGTGGACATTTAGTAGAACAGGTACAGATATTTAGTCGATGATTGCGGACCAATGTAGCAAGAAAGTAGTTCCCCTTTTCTATTTATCATGTAGTGATGTCGAAGTGTGTTTGCTGGCAGAAGCTTTAATCTGCACAATGCATAGTATTCATATCCATTTTCATGTATCAGGTACGGAATCACAGCCCTCCTCCCCAACTAAATAACAGCATTAAGGTATTATTATTTCTCATATGTATGAAATCTTTAGCATGATACTATATATACATTTTTTCTTTGTTGTTCTTGTTGTAGATGGAAGTAGGAATTGAGGACTGCCTCCATATCGAGTTCGAGTACAATAAGAACAAGTAAGCTACTTCAGAAATCTTAGCATTAGCTCTGGACAGTTTGATTGGTTGATTGAAATTTGAATGTGGATGATGATGGATGCAGGTATCACCTGAAAGATGTAATTATTGGGAAAATATATTTTATGCTGGTGAGAATAAAGCTCAAGAACATGGATCTTGAGATAAGGAGGAGAGAATCGACAGGGTCCGGGCCAAATACACATGTGGAGACGGAGACACTTGCCAAGTTTGAGCTCATGGATGGCACTCCCGTCAGAGGTAACTATGGCTTCCCATCTCTTCTCTTTCTCTCATGTTGTCGGCTACATATCCATTGATTGATTTGAGAACTGCATTGCAGGTGAGTCAATTCCGATCAGATTGTTTCTAAGTCCGTATGAACTGACTCCAACTTATCACAACATCAACAACAAATTCAGTGTCAAGTACTTCTTGAACCTCGTGCTTGTTGATGAAGAGGACCGTCGATACTTTAAGCAGCAGGAAATCACAGTGTACCGCCTCCCATCCCCAGAAACAGCCACAAACTGAGAGAGATAAGACAACAATCATAAAAATTTTTTATGCCATTTATTTTTCATTCATTATTATTATTTTTTTTAATAACATGAAAACTGACCATTACTATCCTTTGGGTAGCAAATCACTATAGGGTACCACAAAATTGAACTTATGACGTCACGGTCATGGCTCTATTTTCACATGGTTGATTAGAACAGATCATTACATTTCATCTCTTTCTCTTATTTTATATAGTGATTGTTATTATAGTGAATTTTATAATTTGTCTATCATTTGTTCGTATTGTTATGTTTTTTTTTTTTTTCTTTTTTTTTTAAAATATGATTTTGGGCCAACTTTATATAAAATCAGACATAGCCCTTTCTGCAGTGTCTTAGTGACGACAAATTACAAATACAACGTCGCTCGAGAGAGAGATAGAGGGGCAACGTGGACGGAATGGATTGCACGAGGCCCGACCCGGCCTGGCTCGAACTGAGACTACAGCACTTTAGACTTGCTCAAACGGTTCAAACCGCTGATTACAATTACAAATTATCGGTTACAGTTTGTCAAAATATCAAATCGAAATTGAATCTTCCGAACGACGGTTTCAGTTACGGTTTGATGGTCTCGATTACTGTTTATAAACCGACGATTACGATTTGAAACGGTGTTTTATATATATTTATTTTTAATATTTTTTTTATTTTCTAATTTTTAAAATTTAAATTTTATTTAAAATTCATTAATTCTTTTTATTTTATTTAAATTTATTTATTATATATTCATTATATGAATAATAATTAATTAGATTGTTACAATGTAAAAATAATTTAAACAATAAATTTAATGAGCAATTAAATTATAAATTTAAAAAATACATATAAATTATAAAAATATTGATAATATAATTAAAAATTACAAAATATAAATAAAAACTAATACTCCCTTCCCATTGAATTGTTACCATTTTTGTCCGTCTCAGTTTACCATTTTTTTTAGTAATTGTACTGCATACTTAATATAATAAATACCCTTTAAACTTACAATATATTACACAAATGTCATTATTCTACGTCGTCCTTTCAACTGGACGAACGAAGGGAGTATTACAGTATTAGTATTAGTATTTTTTAATATTATTAATAATTTTTTATTTAATAAAAAAATTGATAATATATAAAAAATTTAAGTTAAACATATTATTATAATTTTAAAACATATAAATTTGCCCAAAATCCTAATACCCTAAGACCTAATAAATCATTTTACACACCCACACCACAGCAGCCGCAGCCGCAGCCGCAGCCGCACTAGCCAAGGCAGCCACAGGTTCTTCCTCTTTCTTCTTTTCTTCACCTTCACCGATTCTTTCCTTTCTTCTCCAATTCTTCTTCTTCTTCCTCTTTCTTCTTCGTCTTCTTCACCTCTTCTTCTTCTCCTGCCTGCTCTGCTCTTGCGCGACGGACGGCCAGATTTTTATTTTTTTTAAAAAAACAATTATGGCCGAACCGCCGGTTCAAACCATAAACCGGCGGTTTGAACCGACAGTTCGCGGTTTGGAGAAACTATAAACCGAAACTGAACCGTCGGAACTACGGTTTCGGTTCGATTTGCATCCGGTTTTGGTTCAAACCGTAACCGCCGGTTCATAAACCGTCGAACCGGCGGTTCGAAACCGAATAGGCAAGTCTACACCTTGTAGGGGAAAATGGGAGGGCCCCACATTCAAATCGACAGACAGTCCGTCCATGAATAAATAGTGCTCCAAGACATGGGGGATTGATAATTTGATATCGTTGCAATCAACCCAAAAGGAAATTCCGTCGCTCCAATAACGCCGCCGGAACTGCCATTTCCGTCTCCTCATTCCACCTACCACCTCAATTCACATCCACATTGTACGTACCCCCGCTCGCGCTCCTTTCTTTGTTTATACCAAAATAATATGCGCTTTCGTTTCCTGTCTCTGAGTCGATGCGACGATTGACATACGAGATCGATTTTTCAGTTATATATATATATATATTTCTCCTTGTTTCTCATATATGTGGGATAATTGTTTGTTGGTCTAGGGATCAATGGAATTGTTTTTCTACATTGTCTTCGGGGCGTTGGCTGCGGTGGTGACAGCATTGGAGCTGAGTAAATCTAACAAGGATCGGATTAGTACTTCTTCATCTTTCAATTCGTTCAAGAACAATTACCTGCTTGTTTACTCGCTCATGATGGGTAGGTATAGCTGCGATTCAGCGTACGATCCGCCTTACATTAGCGATAACAATCGTTGCCAATTTGAATTGATCAAAGTTATATATGATGAGCGCCCGGGAAATTGCTATTTACTGTGATTATTTTTATGTGAGTACATTCTAGATACAAATGCCACGGTGCTGCATGAGTACCAAATAGCTGGACTGGTCTAAATGGGAGGCTTGTGTGATCTGACGACATAATTTAATTTGAATCTGATGTTGGAAATTAGATATAGGTTTATAAGATTGGTTGAAGTTTCTACATTGAGAACTTAGTTTATGAAAAGTTAAGAATTGAAAGGTGTTTCCTTCCTAGATTTGCTCTTGTTTTCTTCTGATGACATAGAACTTGAATCCATCGATCTGTTATCTTCATTAATTTCAGAATTATGCAACATGCATTTAGATGTAGTTTGTTGCCTTAAACACTATATTCACACCATTGGGAGTCTTTTGTAGTATCTCTCCAACAAAAGATAGCTTGATCGATCTGTGTAATTTTATGTTGCTCAAATTTAATTTCCATGTGGCATGCAGCTGGTGACTGGTTGCAAGGTCCGTATGTCTATTACCTTTACAGTACATATGGCTTTGGGAAAGGAGAAATTGGACAGCTATTTATTGCTGGGTTTGGATCTTCTATGTTGTTTGGAACCATTGTTGGATCCCTAGCAGATAAGCAGTGAGTTGCCCTCATACTATTTATTTAAATTCAAATTTTGCTACTACGACATTCTCTTACACTGCTTTTATGAACTTGTAGGGGCCGGAAGAGAGCATGCGTTACTTACTGCATAACATATATACTGAGCTGCTTTACCAAGCATTCTCCTCAGTACAAAGTTCTGATGATTGGACGTGTTTTGGGTGGTATTGCCACATCCCTCTTGTTTTCTGCATTTGAATCATGGCTTGTGGCGGAACATTTTAAGGCAAGATATCCCTGCATGAAATTGCTACTAACTTTTGTTAACTAACTAACCTGGTATTATCCTGAAATATTTGTTAGTTTTAAACTGTCACTGTCAAGGACCTCTCTATGGACGTTCATGGACTGAATAAATAATGAATGGTGTTGGAATATGCATTTAACATGCTCTTGGAATTTTATCATACTGTGATATAAAATTCTTATTTTTTCAATGAATTTCGGACACAATCCTAAAATTTTCTGTGCCATTTTCTTGCTCTTGTGAAACATCTATTCTCTGGTGTGTCAATGCATATATGCAACTTGCTAATAAATGAGAGAGTGAAGCTTCCGAGATGCATTTTTGGTTTTCAATACCAAGAGTACTGTTGATTAATTGCAATCTTGAATATGTACTTGTATTTGCAGAGGAGTTTTGATCCTCAATGGCTCTCGTTGACTTTCTCCAAGGCAATATTCCTCGGAAATGGTCTTGTGGCTATTCTATCAGGATTGTTTGGAAATCTGTTGGTTGATACCTTCAATCTTGGGCCTGTTTCACCCTTTGATGCTGCTTCGATATTTCTAGCTGTTGGGATGGCCATAATATTATCATCCTGGTCAGAAAACTATGGAGATCCTTCAGAGAACAAGGATTTGCTCACTCAATTCAAGGGTGCAGCTGTAGCTATTGCTTCAGGTATTCCTGAATCTCTTAATTATAGCTCCTGTCATTCCATTTAATTAATTATGAATGTAAGTGAGAGATGCTGCCTCATGCTGGGAGTTGGTGAAGTGTTGGCATCTTGATGAGTACACTAAGTTATTTTCTGCATCTTTTAAAACTAGTGCAAGCTTAAAAATGTCTGTCTCCCGCCGGTTCCCGATTGATGAGTTGATTTCCTGATTAATTGATCAGATGAGAGGATTGCATTGCTTGGTGCCATTCAATCTCTCTTTGAAGGTTCAATGTATACATTTGTCTTCCTCTGGACACCTGCCCTGAGTCCAAATGATGAAGAGATTCCTCATGGATTTATTTTCGCAACTTTCATGTTGGCTTCAATGTTGGGAAGCTCAATAGCTGCGCGTTTATTGGCTCGCAACACACTTAGAGTGGAGAGCTACATGCAAATAGTATTTGTTATTTCTTCTGCAGCGCTTCTGCTTCCTATCTTAACAAGTGTATGCCCCCAGTCACTCTTTGCTATTTCCCTGTGATTTTACGATTTTATCTAGCTGAGCTATTTCTAATTCGAACAAACTATGGCAGTTCTTGGTAGCTCCGTCCAAGGAGAAAGGAGGTGGCATCTCATATTCAGGCTGTCTCCAACTTCTGGGCTTCTGCACATTTGAAGCTTGTGTGGGAATTTTCTGGCCATCCATAATGAAGATGAGATCCCAATACATCCCTGAGGAGGCTCGAAGCACCATCATGAACTTCTTCCGTATCCCGCTAAACATCTTTGTTTGCATCGTGCTTTACAACGTACACCCGTCTCATCTCTGACTCGTGCTTGCTCGTAATCTTTGCTTGAATGGATGTTTCTTAAGTCACATGGAAGCTAACCTACGGTTTTGTGCATAACTTGTTCGGTTTCATTCATACCATCCTCTCTGTCCACAATTTTCACACATAAGTGCCTTTGGAACCATGTTAGAATCCCTAGAAAGTAGGGTCTTACACTTTTTAGTCAACAAGTATTCCAAGATGAAGTGATGTCCATTATGTTGAACGGATAAGATAGCATAAATGTTCCTGTATTTAGTGGGGCTGAGCTTGGGAAATAACTAACTCATTTTCGGGTGGTTGCAGGTTAATGCTTTCCCCATTACTGTTATGTTTGGTATGTGTTCCATCTTCCTCTTTGTGGCATCCCTTCTCCAAAGAAGGTTATCAGCAATTGGAGAGAAGCCAAGTGCGTATTCTATTGTATTGTATTGTTTTGTGTTATTTCTGCACTAGTACAATATTGTTGTTAAGAGTATATCGAATCATCTAACTTGTATTAGCATTGTTGGACGTAAGGAATGCAACTAGCCCAACTAACATGCCCTCTCCTTGTTTCAGAGTCGGAAGAAGAATGGACTATGTTGAAGGAGAGAAACGTGGAGGTCGAAGCCTAGATGTTACTACTACTACTACTACTCCTTAGATTGGACTGGTTCAAGTGAATGGATGGGACTTCTCTCGGAAGGTGGTTGTTTGTTTCGAGATAGGCTTTTTCAATAACCATATATAGTAGCAAAAATTACCAGCAATAAAGGGGAGGGATAGAAGTAATTAATATTGGAATTGAAGTAAGGAAGAAAGGAGAGACAATGGCCGCTGCTGCTAGCAAAAGGTGAGTTTTATTCATTCATAAGACATATTTAGCACGTATAAATACGGGGTTAGAGAGTTGATCAGTTGATTCGATCTGTTAGTTAGGTCATCTGTGAGCAAAAATTGTGTTTTGTGTTTTGTTGTTTTTGTTTAATTCAACTTGCTCTTCATTGTTTTTTTTAGCATTCATATTAATTAGTAAGCAAGCAAACATGCAGTGGTTTTGTATCCATGCTCTTCATATTCATTTTGTTGTTATTATTATTCTTATATATTTCCGTATGAATCCGTAGTCGTTATTTATTTTTCGGGTGCGAGTTGAATCTAATTGTTTGTTGTTTAATGTTGTGTCCCTAATAATATGTTTTGAATGAATAGCACTGGTCAACAACTAATGCAATGCATATTGTCATAATAGTAACAGGGTTGAATATTGTTATGTTCATATTCAAACTACAATTAACTTAACTAGCAAGTTAGTTTGTTTTAAGTAGGGCTCTGGAGTTTTTTTTTAAAAAAGTTGAAGATTGACGCGCCAAAAATATCAAAATTATTTATATGAACACAGCTTTATTATCTAATTGAGAGTGTAGCGGAGCAGGACAGACTCTAGAGAGAGAGAGAGAGAGAGAGAGAATTAAATTAAATAATACGAGAGAACCCACACAGGCCACCGTTTACTTGGGGGTTGACTCTCTCTCTGATTATTTATTTATTCATTCTTCAAGACCAAAACTGACTGATCGATCAATCCTTCATTGCGTGTTCATTCTATTCCATGTTTCCATCATCCCCTTGCTTCTTTGATGATCTGAGCTGATGAACCTCCATGTCTATCCCAAACCAGATCACTCTGTCAGGTACTCTATTTATTTGTGTTTTCTGCACATCTTTTAAGTACTTGATTCTCACGGCTTGTTATTTTTCTGGTGAATCATCCTGATTGATGATCTTATTCCTTGTGATGATATCTCGTGGATAGATCCTGTATATTCATATTTAGAATCTGTTATATTCATTCTTCTCCTTTTCCTGGAATTCCATGGAATCCAACACCTACATACATCCATTTTTTTTTTTCCACAGCATAAATGATTAAGTTTCAGCAAAGGTTATATATATATGTATACTACACACATTTGGTGCAGTTTCTTCTGCAGAAAGAATCAAGTTAAGAACGTACTACACCAGGAGACGAAGCAGTTCACTTCTCCAGACTGAAAAATTGATCTTCAATTGCTCAGTTCTATAACGCCAAAATAGAATACTCCCTCCCATATGGCTTCCTACAATCTTCATGATATTGCTCGATCCATATCTGAAGTAGTAGATGCTTCAAGAGAAGTTGTTCTACAGAAGGAGAATTTCAGAAAATACTCAGCTTTCTTAAAAAGAATATCACTTACTTTCCACGAGTTGATCAAATTGCAGCCGGAGAGTTCAGAAACAAGCAATAAAGCTGTTGAGGATCTTAAGGCGGAGATAAAAGCTGCTAAGAAGCTAACCTCGAATTGCAGCAAGGGAAACAAAATCTATCTCCTCTTAAGTTGCAGGAGGATTGTGGAGGACTTGGAGAGCAGTACCAAGAACATTAGAGGGTCTATGATCGATTTGTTGGGATCACTGGATATTGCATCAGAAACAAATGACTTGCTTATGAATCTCTGCAAAGATATGGCAGACTGTCAATATCAAACTTGTGCACAGGAGGAAGAGATTTTGCAGATAATTGAAGCAGGGATAGAAGAAAGAAGCATCGATCAATCTTATGCAAGTAATTTGCTCATTTTTATTTCCAAATATGTTGGAATCTCAAATGAGCAATCTATGATGAAGGCAGAATTCGAAAGTTTCAAGAATGAAACACAGAATATTGAATCAAGAACAGAAGCTTTGAGAATGGAACAGATTGTTCTACTCCTATCCAATGCTGACATTATCACAAGTTCGAAAGAGAAGGAAATGAAATACCTGATCAAACGTGATTCGCTTGGTAGACAGCTGCTGGAACCTCTCCAGTCATTTTATTGTCCAATAACTCAAGATGTGATGGTGGATCCGGTGCAGACATCGTCTGGTCAGACATTCGAGAGAGCTGCAATTGAGAAGTGGCTTGCTGATGGAAATAATCTCTGCCCATTAACAAAGACTCCATTGAACACATCATCTCTGCGGCCAAACAGAACTCTGCGACAATCCATGGAGGAGTGGAGAAATCGAAACACCATGATTAGTATAGCTTCCATGAAGACTGAAATCCAGTCACACGATGATCAAGAAGTGCTTTGTGCTTTGCAGAAACTCCATGACTTATGCAAGAACAGCGAGTTACATAGGGAATGGATAGTCATAGAAGATTACATACCCATCTTCATTGATCTTCTTTCTGCAAAAAACAGTGAAAAAAGAATTCATTCTTTGTCCATTCTTTATTACCTTGCAAAAGATGGAGAAGATAACAAGGTAAACTTCTGCTTGCAGTTTCCATTGATGTTCATATCAAGAATATGAATGAGATAGTTTCTAATAATTCTTCTGAAACTTTTACCAGGTGAAGATTGCTGAATTGAATGAAAGCATCACATGTATCGTCCGGCTACTTGCAAGGAAGGTTGAAGAAAGTGTGTTGGCACTGCAGTTGCTCCGGGAGCTATCTAAAAGTATCCATCTTGGGAACCATATTGGGAATGTACAGGGTTGCGTACTTCTGCTTGTCACTTTAGCAAGCAGTGATGATGCTCGGGCTTCAGAATACGCCCACGACGTTCTGGACAATCTTTCTTTCCTCGATCAAAATGTAATACAGATGGCGAAGGCGCAATTCTTCAAACCTTTGTTGCAGAGGCTTTCTGAAGGTTCCTGAGATATAAATATAAAGTAGAATTAGAGATATAGACAGGTTTAGCCTTAAAACTAGAATTAAATATGTTTTGGTTTTACAGGGCCAGTCAGCATGAAAATGGCCATGGCAGCTACCTTGGCTGATCTAGAGTTAACTGATCATAACAAGCTGTGTCTTTCAAGCGATGGGGCTAACAAACCACTGCTTGAGATGCTCAGTTATGGAGTTGTTGAGGTCAAGGCAGCAGCTGTCAAAGCTTTACAGAACCTCTCAGGAGTACCACAAAATGGCCTTGAGTTGATCAGACATGGGGCTAAAGATCCCTTGTTTGAACTCATCTTTTCCCACAATTTATCGATACCCAAACTGCGCGAACAGGTGGCAAAAACTATCATGCATCTAGCCATGTCCACAACTTCCCCAGAAGCGTACCGGGAGCAGATTTTCCTTATGGTAACAGAAGAGGATGTTTTCAAACTATTTTCTCTCATTTCATATTCTGGACCTGATTTACAAGTAACACTTCTCCTCACCTTCCATGCCTTGTGCAAATCACCTTCTGGTGTCGACATCAGGAACTGGTTGAGACAGGTAGTCGAGAAACTCCAGTTCTTTATATTGATGTTTCATATCCCGGATAAAATGTCCCTCTAATTGTCTTTCTTTCTGTTTTTCCTCTGTTTGCCAGATGTCTGCTGTTAAAGTGCTGATTCAATTATGCGAAGTCGAAGAGCTTTCTGTAAGGGTAAATGCCGTGAAATTATTCTATTACCTGATAGAAGACGGCGAGCATGAATCATTTATTGAGCATGTGAACAAGAAATGCATCAACACCTTGGTTCAAATCATCCGAACTTCCAACGACGAAGGGGAGATGGCTGCAGCCATGGCCATAATAGCTCACCTCCCTCACAACATCGAGATGTCTCAGAACCTTCTCGAATCCGGGACACTTGAAGTCATCTATGATAGCCTAACTTTCAGAAACAGTCACGCTCCACACGAAAAAGAGATAGTAAAGTACGCCGCAGCAGCCCTCTGTCGGTTCACAGATCCATCAAACATTGAATGGCAAAACAGAGTGGCTGAAGTCGACATGATCCCTGTCCTGGTAAAACTTCTGTGCTCTGCAAGCTCATCGACAAAACGATACATCTCAATTTCACTGAAGCAAATGTCGGAAAGTTCAAGCAAATTAAGCTTACCAGTGAAGAGGAGCAACCTCCTAAGCTTGGCCTGCTGCTTGGGAATATCCCCGTCTGAAAACACATGTCCCGTGCACTTAGGCATGTGCACCGTGAAGTCGTCCTTCTGTCTCTTGCAGGCAGATGCTGTGAGCCCTCTTGTGGTGGCGCTCGGGGAGGCCGAGGCTGAAGCTGAAACTTGTGAAGCCATCATGGATGCAATCCTGACATTGATCGAGGGCACGCAGCTGCAGAATGGCTGCAAAGTGCTGGAGGAAGCCAATGCAGTAGCTGCAATAAAAAAGATGCTGAATTCGCATTCGACAGAGGTGCAGGAGAAGGCGCTGAGAGCGCTGCACCGGATATTCAGATTTGTCGAATACAAAAATAAGTATGGGAAATCAGTCCAGATGGTGCTGGTTGATATAACACAGAGAGGGAGCAGCCGGACGAAGCCTTTGGCTGCTAAAATACTGGCTCAGCTCAATGTGTTGAATCAACAATCGACTTTCTTTGATGGAAATAGTTAGTCAGTTCATGACTGTGATAGCTAACTAATGCAGTCGTAAATTAAGGACTCTATGTATGTATAACACTGCTATATAGGATAGTGAGATTCTTCGAGTCCCAATATCATATATGCACGACGTGCAATCAATTCCTCGATTTCTCAATGCACATAAAACATATGACATAGCAAAAAAGAGTGTAAATTGGCAAATATGAAAAAACAACCAAAACAAACCATAATCAGTAAATATGCTGCTGCACAAGTACAAAATCAGCCAAGCTATCACGTATCACATCCATTATCATTCACTTGTTTCGACTCCCAACATCTCAGAACACAAATATCATATATATATTCTTAGAGACATGAAGCTAGTACTCCCGACAACAGCAACATTACTGTAACGGCAAATAAAAAGCAGAATTGATAACAATGGTATGGAACAACGATGTTAACCTCCATCTTGTACAATATTTACCCGCCACATGAAGCTTTGAGCAAACACACAAGCAGGTTCCAGCAGTGACCTCAAAATGGTCAATAAAGACGAGCATCATCTACTCGCTCAGTTTGAAATTTCATGAGTCCAAAAATCTAAGCCTCAAGGAATTATCAATTACCGATTCCTAATATCTGAAAAGTGCCCTGTACAAGATTAACAATGCCATGACTTCATGTAACCACAAGTAAGGTACCAAGCATCCAAATAGTGCCACAATCTAATCTGAAAATCATATCACAAACGGAGCATCCCATTCACAACTGCCAAAACCAAAATACTGAGAAACTAGTTTAGAAGAAACTATCATAACAATATATAACATGTAGGTTCTCTTGAAAAATAGCTGTGCCAAGATGTCAGTCTTTTTCCTTCACCTTTCGAATGTTGCCTCGCTTTTATATGAATCAAGAAAGAAAGATTAGGTCCACACTTACAACGGTCAGTTGAATCACAGTGCATCTTCTAAAGCATAAATATCATTAGTACAATGGAATGAAAAACCAGATCACAAGGGAGATAAAAACATCAACTCATTTCATAATCATAACATGGCTTCATATTGGGGGCATTTACAATTCACAAACCTTGGCATAACATTGTATTTAGACATTTCATCTTCCCCTGCTGTGAAGCACATGAGCAAAATGACATCCATAGTGAGTATTTATGCTGGAAATTACTTTCAATGAAGAACATTGGAAACAAGCCACAATTAATTGAATAAAATAAGATTCATAAGACACATCAAGGGTATGCAACACACGGAATGGCATCTGTGCCGCCATGTTTAGCTACACCATGATGGGAGAGATGAGATGTAATTACAACCATCATCAGAAAAGCAAGGTATCTGTAATGCACGCACGATATTCTTACACTGATGGACACTATAAAACAGCGGTCCTAAGAGGAAGCCACGAAATTACTAGCAATTATTACAAAGGAGTTGTAAATATGGCGACAACAGGCAACACTGCAGTCAAGTATATATGGGAGAAAATAAACTAACGAGAAATGAAAGGTGGCGGCAGGAATCAATAAAGCCGTGTCTGATAGACGTAAAACCCCCCGCTGAGTCCTAAGCATCAGCAAAATATCATGAAACGCCAAGGTTGTGATTCACGACTCGTAATCTTGTCACAGAAAGGATCCTACACAGAAGCGTTGTTTCACGTTCAGAGCGATTTATTGACCATCTTCAATTTCGTAAAAACCTATATGACCACACTTTAATGGCCAAACGCGGATAGATAACAATCATCACCTGTTGAACCATAATCTCATCGTTTCCCACGATGCCCGCCCCCTGACCTTGCACCAGGATATCGAGCAAACTGGAGCCTTAAGTTGGAAGAATCGCGGTCGTGCTCATCAAATTTATAACCTGCAAGATTCAGCTTGACGTTTATGCTTCCGACTGGCGTTGCTTTGAATCAAGAGGATTAGTTCGATGTCCCCACCCTCATTTCACTATTGTTTCTTGTTAAACTGGACGCTCGCGCAATCAAAACAAAAAGTGCATCGAGTATATCGTATAGAAAGAATGTATCTTTTCATAAAGGATTAGTTAGAAGTAACATTTGATAGACGGAGTAGGCACACCGCAGAGTAAAAAACGAGGCAATGTAAAGTTCATAATTTATGCAGCTCTTAATTACATTTTATATTTTACATCATTTAATCCTCAAACAGAGATGTCACTAAAAATTTTAAGATTGAACGACAATCAGATGATGTTTGAGCAAATATGAATGCTTTATGCAACATAGTTAAATAATTTTGATAAACAATCATCAATTAGTAAAAAGAGTATGTTTCTTCAAGCTTATTCTAAAGGCAGAGGCAGAGGCATAGCAATATTAAAATTGCATCAATAACGCGTGAATAGTGAATCACCGAGAAATGAAAGGCTGATTATCGAAAGTTGTCTGGTAAACAAACATTGATGTACTAACACTGTTGAGTTGAGACGAAAATATACAAAAACTGCAACGGATCGTTATTGGTTTGATGTTCGATTTAGGTAATAAGCCAACCAAATTTGCATCAACAGGTCCACCAAACCATTCTAACTCCAAGAATCTTGAAGACTTGAACACTGTGTTCCAATAAATAATCTTCTCGAGAACCAAACGAGGAAAACACCACGAGGCATATGCATAGTCAAAAGGTAGTTGTGTCGAAATAATCATATGAAATGAATGAAACTACCATAGTAAGAATAAACTTCATATAGATTGTGAAAATAGGTGTTCGGTGTTCAGGCTCACTCAGAAGGCAGTAGAGTCATAATCGAACACAAAGGTGGAGGCATCAATGGCATTCCTCTTACAAAAGAACCAGAAAATTAAGGAAGATATTATAAACCAAACAGGCCCTAAGTTTATGGTGCTTAGTAGCTGACCGTCCTCATTATTTTATCAATAGCGGTCCTTACTTGAGGTCACATGAATTATACAATAAATAGAACAAATTAATCAAGATACTTTTACTCTCCTTTAAAAATTAAACTTCACAACAGTTAGACCTGCAACTCCTAATAAATTAGAAACATACTCAAAAATATTATGCCACTGGGCAACATCTAGAGAAGAAACATTTGATATTTCTATTTTTCCCACCAAGCTCTTAAGAACATTAGGCTGAAAAGAGTTCATGGTTCAACCAACATTGTAGTCAATAGAATCACGCGAAGAATTGATGGGACAACCTTCAATGCATTGCAGACCCTAAGCCAAGTCATGGAAAAAGAGGCAGCAGCCTATTTCCCAGAAAAATTGCAAAACAAGGGCCAGTGGAGGTCAGAAATAAGTCGGCTAGGATCAGGCATTTCAAGAATGTAATGGAAGAAGGGTGATGAATCATGAAACAACGTCAGCCCAAACATAAGTATTAAATGGGTAAATAGGCACCCATGCCCAATAGTTTTTAAGGGTAAGAAGAGAAACTCTTAGACCAGATGAAGTTTATTCAATCATAAGATATGAAGAACCTTTTTGTTCTTGGAGATGTCTTGAACACTCGTGTAACAGAAAAATGAAAACGGGGACAATTTTACATTTTACACATTCACAGGACAATAACACTCCTAACCATCTTAAGGAAACAAAGAAGACTAACCCAATGTGCATCTCAGTCACAGCATATAAATATCTAAAGTAAAAATGTGCATTACCCTGCAAAGCATCCATTGCTGTGGCTGCATGCGCTGGACTTTGAAAATCAACAAAGCAAAGCACCAATGGATCACCCCCAGGCTGCAAAAGTTGATTTCAAAGTTCAAACAGTATTCATTTGATTAAAAACAACCATCAAATCATATGGCATTAAACCAAACAAGTGCTTACATGTCTTGATTCTTTAGTCACAAGCCTTACTTCCTTGTAGCCCACAAAAGGACGAAATATATCTGCACACTTAAGTTAAAGAACAAAACCAGTATAGAACAATGCAAGAACTTAGTGACCAAGGGCACAGCTGGTGAAGGGTATGTAACAGAGATAGTTTAGAGACACGAGCCTCCATCTTCTATACTATGAATTTAGCTTTACTAAGCACCCTTGTGGTGCATGCTTTGAGCATCTAATATTGGTAGTTAAATAATCATAACTTGAAAATTGTTTTTATTAGTTATTACTACATAAAATTCGTTCACATTGTTACAGGACTAACTATAACACACAATCCTGTTCTGATCTTTGATATGATGCACACTTTCCATGCATCAAGCATCATGGCTCTAAGGTCTTTTCACCATGGCATGCCATATGCCATCAGCAACTATGTGAAAGAAAAAATTATAAAACCTAAAGGATACGAGAAACTTCCCTGCGAGTGCAGTTTGCAGGCAAGCCTTCCACAAATAGTGTGCTGCTGGCATCAGGAGGCAGTGGACGTTCAGGAGGGAGTGATCTTTCAGGCTTTCGTTCCACTGCAACAGGCAGAGTTTTTACATCCAATACTGCTTCTGATGCTCCCATTGCCATGCCACGGGGATCATCAACTTGAAGATGTCGAGGAGGTCCACTGCTCAATGATCTTCCTGAATCGTTACCAAATGCTGACATTTGCTGGCACATAGAACCACAAAGTTTTAAGATCCATATAAAACGCAACAACAAAAATGGAGAAACTCAAATTCAAAATAAAAAGAAGACAAATTCTTACAGCGCTGCGTAAGTAGCGATCATATGATGCGTTGATGGAGTCAGTATCCCTGACCACTCGTGTTCCTGCCCTATCATTGTCATGAGGATAGTAGCTCGACAAGTCATGACTACCGGGCATCTCTGTAAATTTAAAAAAAAAATCAATAAGCAAACCATAATTAGAGGTTCAGTAGATGTTACTTGCGCATTCAAAAACCTCAACAACCCAACTAAGGCAGTGTTAAATGTACATAACTCTCCAACAGCACCACGAAAATATGATCTACGTGATTAATCATAGGAACAGACTTACCAAGACAGGAACCCTAGAGGCTGAAATCAATCAATTCGATTTGCCGACATCTCCAAGATAAATACTCAATCAACTTAATCACAAACGTTATTCTACACAAAAACAAATTATTAAAATTCCTGTCTCTACCATACGGCGCCCGTGTCATAAAACCCTCGATTTCCCAAGGTTCGTACAAAAAGGGGAAACTCGATTAAACTATCGAACCCTCGCCCCTCTAACCACAACCCAAATACAGAAAATAATTAGAATCACACTAACCCCATAACAGATACATAATTAATCAGACAATTACCCAAGTCGGAGCGGGGTCGCTTCACGGTGTGTGAATGAAGAGTCGTCGGCTGCGGCTGTGGCTGCTGCTGCTGCCGACCATCCCCATACCTCCAGTAAGCATCCGCCATTCTTATCCTTGAATTTACGGGGAGACGAGCAAGATCAAAATTAAGAGCTTCTGCCGATGGCGATGGCTTTAGGTATTCGGATTCTCCTTCCTGGTTTGCCTTCCCTGCGCTATGGAAAAATACTCTCGCAGAGGTAGCACGAGAAGCTTGAGCATACTGGGCTCTATAATGGGTCTAATCTAGACCAGATTTATTGGGCCTCAAGAGTGTTGTATTGGGCCGTTAAAACTAAAAATAATTATTATTGTTTTATTAGCCCGTCCCAAAATGTTTTTACAATTTTAATATTTTCAAATAATTCCATCTTGTTTTCAGAATATTCTAAACCACCCCAACACCACTAAATTATCTTTAAAAAATTTGTATTTAATATATGTTTAATATAAAAGGAATATCACACATCATAATTAAAGAAAATGAAAGTATAGTCTAATAATAAATACTTTAATAAAAAATTTGATTTTCATCCTCACTTAAGCACTCGTGAAACTTTACAATGTCACTTATCTTCAAATTACTTTATGACAAAGACGCTTAACTCTACTCTATATTTTTTTCAATAACGCTATCGAAAAAAAATGTGCACATTGTTAACCTAAGTAGTTTGTTCAATCCATTTTAATCTATATTTAAGCTCGGATAGCCTAGTACCGGCTCATCCACGAGAGTTGGCCTAGTACCGGCCCAATTCTGAAGATATTACAACAGTTGTAGGCAGTGCAACAACCCCTTGAACTCACGGTCAATCTACTCTCCAAAATCTATCTCGTAGTTAAATCATTTCAGTTCAAATCATCCACTCTCGATATGCTGCAGACCTTGTGTTCATCCGGCCAAGTTAGCATAGTGCTGATTTGATCGAATAATCTACCAACATATTTTATAATATAATGTGTTATAAAATAACATATGTTGAATTATAATATGATATATATTTCTATTATAAATATATTGAAATATATATATATATATATATAAATATATGTTGTATCATATGCTTATTCGGCCAAATGACATGACTTATCCATGTCCAATATCCACAACAAAATTATATTAACAAGATAACACTGTCTTCTGTGTCTATCACGGAATGGAAAATAGATATAGATGATGCTGGCCCGGCCCAATAAGAAGGCTCCTCTCTCACCCCATATTTTCTTATTTAAGTTGGGCTGTCTACTGTTTATTTGGTAACAATAATATTTCAACCACCATTAAGTAAAGCTTTTATTATTATTATTATTATTATTATTATTATTATTATTATTATTATTATTATTAAATATTAAGGTTGAGGAAATGATAAAGCTCAAAGAAATCATTGTTAATTAGCGCATATATATAATTAATTAATTAATTAAAAAGACATGAAGACTTAGAAGGAGTGGGCAAATAAAATATACTTATACAATAATAATATAATGCTATAAGTGTTTTATTTGGTAGCAGTTGTTGCGCACGCTTGCCAGATACATACATAGATACATACATATAATGGCCTCTGGAGACTGGACCCCACTCTCACTATATTCTCTCCCTATATATATTATAGAGAGAGAGAAAAAGCGCATGTGATTTGTGCAAAAGACATGAATCTTGGTCGGTTGGCTAAAATTATTATTTGCTAAATATATGCAATTCCGTGTCCTTGCTGTGTAATATTCCCCTCCCACCACTTAGCATTGTCCACGTTGTCGTTTATGTCCGTCCCACGTTCTATATTATTTTTGTTTTTTAAAATAATTATACACTTTAATCTTATTTTCAAATTTTTAATTTATTTTTTTTTAATTTTAATTAAACTAATTAGTTATCTTAATCTTAATTATTTATATTATAAAATAATTATTTTCGCTAATACATTTTTAATTATCTACTAATTACACCCCTCCTAAAATACCGTGTCTACAGTATAGCAGACACGGTATGTGGGACGGAGGGAGTAACATATACGTATGTTTATAGCGGTGTTGCGGTGCTGGCATCACACACACATACAGTGACGGAACCAGCTTTGTGGCTCCGGGGCAAAAATGTTATGTTCATTTGTTTTATTTTTTTACTATTTATTTCTAGTTTCAACTTATTTCAAGTTTAATTTTATTTGAACGGTTGTTTCTGTGTGTATAAAAAATAATATAAGAATTTTCTCGTCACCTTTTTTTTTTTTTTTATGACGTGGGAGAACCCGTACTGGGTAAACCCCCGGCCGAACCTAATACCCTGCAAATTAGGTCCGACGAAAAAATCACACTAGGCGAACCATGTATGACAAGTGAACCTTACAATATCAAGTCCAACCTCTACACCACCGGGTCATCCCTTACGGGACCAATTTTTATTAACACTATAATATGGTTGTGAAGAAGAAAAAAATGAACGAAAATAATATTTAAGATAAAATATTTTATTTTTTATATAATATATTTATAGATTAAAATATTATATATTATTATAAATTAAAATAATAATATGGAGGTTTACGTACAATATTAATCTCAAATTAGAGGGCAAATTTGATTATTAAATAAAAAATTAGAAAAAATTACACTTAAAAAAAATTTAGAAAAGTTTTTCATATTTTTATTTTTGTATATTGATTTTTTAATATTAATTATTATATTAAAATATAATACAAATAAAGAAAAATGATAAAAATATTTTTATTAATGTCTTATAATACTAATATAATGATATTTATAAAAGAAAAAAAAACATGCAAATATAAAAATATTTTTTACATTAAAAACAATAATTCCAAGTATAAATGAAAAATTTAATGAACGGAAAATATTATTTAAGTTGGATCGATGATTAATTTAATTTAATTAATGGGCTGGACCGGGCTTGAATTTTGCAGAAGAGTAGGTATGAATATACTACTATATAATAGACTACTACTTACTACTGGAGATTTTCCAACCAACATTATTATTATTATTGTTATTATTATTTCAAACTAGTCCCATAAAGGATGATCGGATGGTATAAGATAAACAAACCTGTAACTATGATATTATGAGTTACACATAATTTACTTAGTGTGACACATAAATAAATCAGTATAACTAGACATCAATATATTAGAACAAGTATATATTCATATAACATTCAATATTATTATTATTTTTTATGACATGAGAATCCGTAACTCCCCTAATCGAATTTAATATCCTGTAAACTAGGCCCGACAAGCAAGTCATACTAGATGAACCATATGTGACAGGTGACCTGAGGAAGTTTAATATTATCACACAATATATATATATATATATATATTTAATTAAAATCCCATATTCTCCATTAGGGTGGTGCTGCATAGAGACTTGGAGGGTCTGTAGCCCTTGAATGATAATGATAAAGGTTATTATTATTATTAGATAAAATTGCACAAAATCTATGTATAATTTTATAAAAAGGAGTCAAATTTTTTATAATTTTGAAATAATGTCTGATTTCTTTATATTTATAAACTGTCTTTAAATTCTCTTGACCTTTCTTATTTAATTTAATTGTATTTGACTTGCATCAATCCAAACAAATTTCAGAATTTTTATTTTTAAATTCTTAAAATGCGGCGCTAATTTTTTAAGTCAAATTTGGGTTAAATATACAATTTAAAATTTAAAAATAAAAATAAATAAAATTGCTATAGAAGAAACATATGTGGACATGACAGAACCGGACAAGACCGGACCGGACCGGACCGGACCATGCATATCATGTTTACATGCATACATATATATATATATACACACACATAACAAACAAATGTAAAGTAAAACCTTCATATATATTGATCATCATTAATGAATTATATTTCAGAAAAAAAATAAAGGGGAGAGAGAGAGAAAATTTAAACTAAAACATCATGTCAAGTAATGATCAGCTTCATTAACACAAATCACAAATAGGCAAATACTCTCCCATCCATTAAAATTACGATATTAAAAAAAATAATATTTTATTGAAAAAATAAAAAGTAATTGATGTATAATTGAAAATTTAGTTAGAAATTAAAGTAAAAAAAAAAAATGTAATAAAAACAAGTTTTATTTGTTGTAAAAAAATGTTGAATAAAAAAATAATAATTAAATATGACTTGTCATTTTTCTAAATTAGTAATGTAATAAATTTAACGGATTGATTAAAAAAAGTGAGAATAAATTTGATGGACGGGGTATCATACATATATATATATATCATTAATGCATACTTATAATACGTACATGTACATGGATGATTCCACCAATTTATACTTATGGCCGTGAGGTCATAGATTTAAATTTCGACGTCTTCAGGTCTACATGTGACACATAATTCGTCTAGTGTGACTTGCTTTGTTGAGTTTAATTTGTAGAATATTAGATTCGTCAGGGATTTAATTACCGCAGATTCTCACATTAAAAAAAAAAAAAAATTGTAAGAAAGGTTTACATATTTATAAATGTACACATGTATTAATTCAATTAACCAAAAACCCAATGGCAAGAATGAGTTTTGAATGAATGAAACAAAAATATGTGTTCAGATCATTAAAGCAAAGAATTAACTACACGTGCAATTAATTCTTATATGTTTCTTTCAGAAACCTAAAAGAGCCAACAGAATTAATATGCACGTAAATTCAATACCCACACATATAAATTCAATGCACACGCATATATAGACATTTCTGACAAAATAATAATAATAATAATAATAATAATAATAATAATAAAATTGTCGATACAGTGAGGTAATTAATTAATAATTAATTAAAAGGGGGTTTGTTCACCAGGTGGATCCACCAGCCTGCAGAATTCCATTAATCCAATTATACCCATGATTTGATGATGAATCTCCTCCCCTTGTTCCCTCCAATTCATCTCCTCGAGCTCCTGCGTGATCATCATCAATGGGGGAAATTAGGGTTCCTGCTGCAGACTGGCCGATTGTCTGGTCATCCTGTCCACCCAATTGCAAATTGCCATACCAGTACTTCTGATCATGAATCCCACCATCCAGTGAAAAGCACAAGCTCGATTTACCATCACTCGTCAATTCTGGCAGAAAACCTGATGAAGATACTACTGTGCTGCTCGATTTGGAAACATGATGATGATGAGCCAAATTGGGAATCAGAGAGCTCATCATTATTCCTCCTGAGCTCATAATTGGGAGATCTGAAGAATTGGAGCAATTGAAATTAGGGTTTTCCTGCATACCCAGGTAGTTTCTGACTTCAAGGCCGAATGATGGAGCAACGAATTGATCAGATCCCCGATTGTAGAGAATCGATTGATGATTAAACCCTAAGCTCAGATCGTCTCCCTCGTGGATCTTAGGGTTTATTGGGGATGATATTTTTGGCGTGCTCAGATTAGGGATAGCTAATTTCTTCGACGCAGACAAGATAGACGACGACGACGAAGTTGTTGTTGATGATGATGACGATGATGAAGAAGAAGGGCGTCTGTTCTTCCTCGAGCCGCCGCCGACGGGAACGTTCCTCAAAGTGCCGCCGTTGGTCCAATACCTCCGGCAACCTTTGCAGAAGTATCTGGGCTGAGAGAGGCTGTAATTGTTGTAATAACAGAATTTGGTGTTGGTGGAATTGCACCTTGGGCAATTCAAAGCTTGCTCCTTTTCTGGCCTCGGTTTCTTCTCTGTTGGTCGGTTGGGGGTGGGGGTGGGGTTGGGGTTTTCTACTGACCTCACACCGCCATTAAGGACCTTGAAATAAAATATTAATTCGAAGAAATTAATGATATATATATGTCAGAAAGAATTAAGCCAGGCAAAGATCAGAAATGACTTATTACTATTATGCAGTTAAAAGAATCAGAAAGCAATCGATATCGAACAAGCAAGAAAAGAACACAAGAAGAAACTGGAATTATGGTGTAAAAAGATATATATATATATATGTACGTATATTTATATATGGGGTCTGATCGATCCAAGCAATCTCTTTTATCTTTTTCAGATGTTGGGAAAGGGAAAAAGGTGAGAAGGGGGTCAGCAGTATACTGCTTTTTACACATGAAAGCATGAGCAGACATGGCAATAAATTCAAAGCAAAAGACAGTAGGGGTGGGGGGGGGGGGTGGGTACTGGGGGGATATCTCATCTTCTGTAAAGCTATATATATATTAACGTTAGCTTTAATTAAAGACGATGATCAGATGAGATGGGATTTGAGATGGAGCTACAGCCAAAAGAGATAGAGAAAAGGTAATTAAGATCAATCAACAAGAAAATTCCAAAAACCCTAGAAAGAAAATTAAGGGGGGAGGGGAGGGGAGGGGGGGTTTAATTACCTGTGACCACTGAAGAGGAGTAGTGTCCATTGCAGAAAAGGAAGACGATCGATGATGAAAGAGATCTGAAATTAATATCGATGATGATGAGGTAGAGAGAGAAAAGGCAGTGTTCCTGTAAGAAAAGGAGATGGGGGAGAGAGAGAGAGAGAGAGAGAGAGAGAGAGAGAGAGAGAGAGAGAGAGAGAGAGAGAGAGAGAGAGAGAGAGAGAGAGAGAGAGAGAGATGGAAATTTAGAGAGAGAGAGTGGATGATCGCAATAGGTGGTCTGGTATTAAAGCAAGAAAGCAACTTGAGGAAGTTTTGTTTGGCGCTTCCATATGTTGTCTTGCTGCTGCCATTTGTGCCCCTCCCGCTGCTAGTGGGGGAAAAAGCACCCCACCCCCACCCCCCACCCACACAGAGCGAGCTAGTAGGCTAGGGTTGGGGGGATTGGCATCTGTCCACTTGTGAATATTTTGTTACATATTGCAAGTTACAGATCATCATAATCATAATATGCATATTATACAAGCTGGATATATATATATATGTGTTCTTCAAAGTGGTGTTAATGATCATGATCAGTTTGATCACATTTTTGGCTGCCATTTTGTAATCTTTTTATCACCTCCACTCCATCTTAGGGTTTGTTTAGTCCATGTTTGTGAACATTTAAAATTAAATTTAACTCCCTCCATGTAAATTATGTAGGTTTGATTGGATATGAATGTTTCTTGATAAATTTGGAAAGTTTTTGGTTTTGATGTGATATTCAAATAATGTATAATGAAATGTTTTGTAAAAAATAAATATTTTTTTTCTTCGAAAAACGCAAATAATAGAAACCTCAACTTTGAAGGCAAAATTAAAGAAACAAACCCTTAATATATTAATACTAAGGAGGAATAGGTAAAAAAATAAAGTTGAGGTATTATAGAAAATTAATTAAAAAATAGTCAGATAAATAAAAAAAAAAAAAGTGATAAATTATTTATAATTTGTTAAAGCAAATGAAATAAAATTACGGTAGAGATAAAATAGTTTATTATATTTGTTTGGGGGATTGGATTTTAAATACATTATTCATTCTATTTTTTCTCTCCAAAAACATCGAATCAAACACATATTTTTTTTATTTTTTTATATTATACTAAAAATTAATTTTACATTTAAAACATCACATCAACACCTATTTATATCTCATCATATAACTATTCAAATTCAAAATTTTTACTATTCAATTCCAGCTCAAAATCCAAACCTCCAAACAAACAATGAATTTTGCATAAGTTTAACGGATGACAAAATGAATAATAGTGATATAATTTTGGCCGGAATAATAAAATTTTGGAGGCATTTGATCTAATAATGTAAATGATCCTCTATCAAACTTTATGCTTATATATTATTCATTTCAATTTGTGGTCTTGTGTACAAAATCAAAATGTGTCAAAAGTCTGAATTTATAATTTTACGACTACAACTTCACCTTCACACAAATAGACGACTATATAATAACAATTTTGTCACTATCATTATATCATACATTCATTATTAAACTCATTTTCTAATTATCACATTTTTTTCAAAATACCACACATTATTTTTTCTTTTGTATTAAAATGTTATTATGTTTTAGTTTTTCATTCCCATTCATGCAAGTATAATTTAGTGGATGAAGAAAAAAAACAAACAACAAACATGCGTTTAATTTGATAGTGTCGATAAATAAAGAAATTAAAAATATTAAATGATGAACCATATTTACAAACATACAAACCCCCGATGCCTCAGGTCACCTGCCACACATGGTTCGCCTAGTGTAATTTTCTAATTGGGCCTGGTTTGCAGGGTATTAGGTTGGGCCGGGCTGGAGGTTTACCCAGTGTGCATTTTCGGGTAGCGGCTGCGGGTTCCCATGTCATTAAAAAATAAATAAATAAATAAACAAACAAAAAGCTTTACTATTTTCCGTTTTACTTTTTTTCAACAACCCAATATTTTATGTATATATATATATATTAGATATTATTTATTTTAATTCACAAGGAGAATACATTATTAGCCATCAAAATTTGCCACAAAAAGTACAAAGATGTGGAAAAACTATATGTATATTTTCATTAACTATATATAGATCATTTTAAACTATTAATTTAGAAATTTCTACATTTATCTTGTAAAATTCTTTTTCTGCTATCGTGCACCTATACATAAGTATACATATACAAATATTTCACATAATATAATTATGTTATCGGTATCACATATTACAGATATAGATATTGAAAAATTGTGGGTTAAATTAGAAATTTTTAGAAGTAAAAGTAATTAAATTGACCAAAAATTGAATAAATAAATATTGGTGAGCATGTGTTTAATTCGTTTGTGTTTGTAATCCTTTAGACATTCAATTTATCAAAAGTTTCATCCTACTTTATTAATTCACTCTTATATTTTCCACTGTACTCATATTTAATATAATAAATTAATACTCCATTCGCCCACCTCTAAATGTGACATCTATTTTTTGTCTCATTGTGATTAATATTAAAAATATCAATATATTTGTATAATTTTTTGTACAAATATCCTATTAATATTATAAGACACTAATGAAATTATTTTTACAATTTTTTCTTAATTTATACTATATTTTGATATAATAATTAATATTTAAAGATCAATACGCAAAAATTTGTGTCCATTTTATAATTTCAATACTAAATTTATTTACAAAAAATTAGTTTATTCCAAAAAATTTTAGATATATCATTTTCTCTTTCTATCCGAATTCAATTTAAGCCTATATAGTCAGGTTTAGATATTGAATTAATCAAATCAGTATAGTATTAATTTGATCTAAACGAGAGCCTAGGCCTAGCAATTTTGATTTATCTAAAAATTGAAGTAAATTAATAGTCTTCAATAATCAATACATGCCATTATGTAGTGTATAAATTTTTTTCCAATTTATTCATTTATTTATTTTTAATTAACCCTAAAAATATATTGTTGTGGCACAAAATATTATCTCATGATACTAACAATGAACACAAAGTAATAGATCTATAGTTGAGGCAAGCTTAGGGACATTACTACAAAATACGATTCCATTGTGCAAGAATCAAGATTACTAATAGATTATTTATTAATTTTTTTTTTAGAAAAAGGAATCAAGATTAGTAAGTAACACTCCAACCAACATTATACAATCCAAATAAAATTGACATATGTTTGCAACAGACTAATAATCTGTCATCTGCCGCACATGGTTCGCTTAGTATTACTTTTCCGTCGGCCCTGGTTTATTGAATATTAAGTTCGGCTGGGAGTTTACTCAGTGCGCACTTTCGGGTAGCGGCTGCGGATTCCCACGTCATCAAAAAATATATATATATATATATATACACGAGAGTTGCTCATAAGGGAGTCTGACGATGTGGAGAGTGAACTTATGACCATGAGGTCATGAGTTTAAACTAAATATTTATTTAATATTCTATAAATATATACATTCTTCGTCCACCTCTAAGAGTAACATTTACTTTTTGTTTCACTGTATTTAACATTAAAAATATTTTTATATTTGTATAATTTTTTGTACAAATGTCATTCTATCAGTACTATAAGATATTAATAAAAGTATTTTTGTATTTTTTTCTTAATTTGTACTACATTTTGATATAATAATTAATATTAAAAAACGAACACGCAAAAGTAAATGAGACACTTAGAGTAGGACATAGGTAATATATATATATATTATATTTTGAATATAAAATTAAATTTTAATATAATATAAAAGATAAAAATTTAGGTATTTAAAGTATTATAGTTTTATAAGAAAATATTTGGAATAATGAAAATTTTATAGAAACTTCCAAATAAACAATAAGGTTATATTCTTTTGTATGATTTACCACAATTTTTATTATTCAATTCTTTTTTTCTCTTTAAAAATATTATATTAAATATTTTTTTTTATATTATATTATAAATTTATTTAACATTAAAATTTTACATCAATCTATACTTATGCTCCCTCCGTCCCAGATACCATGTCCACGTTGCCGTTTCTGTCGGTCCACATACCATGTCATTTTCTTTTTTTGGAAAATGATTACACACCTTAATCTCATTTTAAATTTTTTAATTTTTTTTAAACATTTGAATTAAACTAATTAGTTATCTTAATCTTAATTTATAATTATTTATATTATAGGATAATTATTTTTACTAAGACATTTTTAATTATCTACTCATTATACTTCTCTTAAAATATTGTATCTACAGTATAGTAGTATCTGAGACGGACAGAGAGAATATTATATTAAATAATTATTAAAATTTAATTTTTTACTGTTCAAAAATTCAAACACACCCTTAAAAAAACGCTCAGACAGTAGTGGGGGCAGACGATGATAAACAAAAACATATACACTTAAATTAATATTGAGAATTCCGGACCGTAGTATGGTATAGATTCGTGTTTATTTCCGAAAACGACGTCGTCGATCCCTGTTTGAATAGTTTCAGCCAATGAGAATTCGCAACGTCAACGCGGCGTGCAAACTGCAGAAATAATTATAGCCACGCTGTGGGACCCACCCACAGCTTGTTCGACTCCATTGGATTATCATCACATGTGCGCATCTACGTGTCATTCGACTGCGTCACCAAAGCCGTATTCGTCTAAAAAATCATAATTAATAAATAATTAAAAATATATTATTTTTAATTCCAAAATAATATAAACATTCAAATGAATACGAAAATTAAAAAATAATATTATTATATTAATTGTAAGTGTAAAATTATTTTTAAAATAATAAATTACTCTTATTTTATATAATTGTTATGAAAAAATTAAATAATTTTGTAAAAAAATAAAGAAAATATGACAAAACGAAAATTTTGGAACCGAAGGAGTATTATTTTCTAACATTTCTATAAAATATTTATTTTTTATTTTAATTTGTTCCATATAAAAATATTAATATAAATAATTATAAATATAAAAATATTTGTATAAATAATTAAAAATATATTAATTATCGTATAATAAGAATAATTATAAATTAAAATTAAAATAATTATTTTAATTAAAATTAAAAAATTACAAATTTATAAATAGCATTAAAATATATAATTTTTCAAAAAATATGATAAAATAAATGAAAAAATG